TCTTGCTGATTTGAGTTTCTTGTATATTCTGGATATCAGTCCTTTGTTGGATGCATAGTTTGAAAGTATTTTCTCCCACTCTGTGGGTTGTCTGTTTACTCTGCTGAATATTTTTTTTTTTTAGCTGTGCAGAAGCTTTTTGATTAGGTCCCATTTATTTATTTTTGTTTTTGTTGCATTTGCTTTTGGGGTCTTAGTTACAAATTCTTTGCCTAAGCCAATGTCCACAGGAGTTTCTCTGATGTTATCTTCCAGAATTTTTATGGCTTCAGGTCTTAGATTTAAGTGTTTGATGCATCTTAAGTTGACTTTTGTATAATGTGAGAGACGGGGATCCAGTTTCATTCTTCTTCATGTGGCTAGCCAGTTTTCCCAGCACCATTTATTGAATAGGGGGTCCTTTCCTCAATTTATGTTTTAGTATGCTTTGTCAAAGATCAGTTCGCTATAAGTATTTGGCTTTATTTCTGGGTTCTCCATTCTTTTCCATTGGTTTAAGTGCCTATTTTTATACCAGTGCCATGCTGTTTTGGTAGCTATAGCCTTGTAGTATAATTTGACGTCTGGTAATGTGATGCTTCCAGATTTGTTCTTTCTGCTTAGAATTATTTTGACTATGTGGGCTGGGCAGGTTTTTTGTTTGTTTGTTTGTTTTGTTTTTTTGTTTTTTTGAGATGGAGTCTCACTTTGTTGCCCAGGCAGGAGTGCAATGGCAAAATCTCCACTCAGCACAATCTCCGCCTCCCAGTTTCAAGTAATTCTCCTGCCTCAGCCTCCCAAGTAGCCGGGATTACAGGTGCCCACCACCAGGCCCAGTTAATTTTTGTATTTTAGTAGAGATGGGGTTTCACCATGTTGGCCAGGCTGGTCTCGAACTCCTGACCTCAGGTGATCCACCCACCTTGGCCTCCCAACGTGGTGGGATTACAGGCATGAGCCACTGTACCCAGCCTATATGGGCTGTTTTACAGTTGCATATGAATTTTAGGATTTTTTCTAGTTCTGTGAAAAATGATGATATTTTGATGGAAAATGGGAATTGCATTGAATCTGTAGATTGCTTTGGGCAGTATGGTCATTTCACAATATTGATTCTTCCCATCCATGAGGATGGGATGTGTTTCCATTTATTTGTGTCATCGATGATTTCTTTCAGCAGTGTTTTGTAGTTTTCCTTATAAAGATCTTTCACCTCCTTGGTTAAGTATATTCCTAGGTTTATTTTTTTATTTTTATTTTTTTGCAGCTGTTGTAAAAAGGATTGAGTTCTTGATTCTCAGCTTGGTCATTGGTGTATAGCAGTGCTACTGATTTGTTTACATTGACTTTGTAACCTGAGACTTTACTGAATTCGTGTATCAGATCTAGGAGTCTTTTGGGTAAGTCTTTTGGATTTTTTAGGTATATGATCATATCGTTGATGAATAGCAACAGTTTGATTTCCTCCCCTCTCTTGTCTGATTGCTCTGGCTAGGATTTCCAGTACTATGTTGAATAGAAGTGGTGAAAGTGGGCATCCTTGAGTGATGACCGTTTTTCTTTTTTTTTTTTTTTTTTTTTTTTTTGTGAGATGGAGTCTCACTGTCGTCTGGGCTGGAGTGCAGTGGTACGATCGTGGCTTACTACAATCTCCACCTCCCAGGTTCAAGCAATTCTCGTGCCTCACTGAGTGGCTGGGATTACAGGTGCCCACCACAACGCCTGACTAATTTTTCTATTTTTAGTAGAGATGGGGTTTAACTTTTTGATTTATCCTCATTGTTGCATGATTGAATAATTCCTTTATAAAATTGCTAAGTAGTATATGGATATACCACAATTTGTTTTATCCGTTTACTTTTTCATGGACAGTAGGTAGTTTTCAGTTTGGGGTTCTTCTAAATAAAGCTGCCATAACCATTTGTGTAAATGTCTTTATATGTACACATGCTTTCTTTCTCTAGGGTAAACACTAGGAGTTCAATGTCTGGATCATATGGTAGATGTGAGATTAAAATTGTAAGAAACTGCCAAACTGTTTTCCAAAGTGGTAGTACCATTCCTTATTCATTCCCATCAGCAGTATATGAGAATTCCATTCTCCACAACCTTGCCAAAGCTTGGTATGGTCAGTCTTTTTCACTTTAGCCATTCTCACGGGTGCATAGTAATATCTCATTAGAGTTTTAATTTACCTTTTTTTTTTCAAGACAGAGTCTTGCTCTGTTACCCAGGCTGGAGTGCAGTGGCACAATCTCAGCTCACTGCAACCTCCACCTCCTGGGTTCAAGCAATTCTCCTACCTCAGCCACCTGAATAGTTGGGATTACAGGCGCCCACCACTGCACCTGGCTAATTTTTGTATTTTTAGTAGAGGCAGGGTTTCACCATGTTGGCCAGGCTAGTCTCAAACTCCTGACCTCATGATCTGCCTGCCTCAGCCTCCCAAAGTGCTGGGATTACAGGCTAATATGAGCCACTGCGCCTGGCCTACATTTTCTTAACAACTATTATTGTTAAACATCTTTTCGTGTGATTACTTGCCATTTGTATATATTCTTTGGTAAAGTTTCTGTTTCTATTATTTTCCCATTTATTTATTGGAGTGTCTGTTTACTTCTTACTTTTAAATGATTTTATATATTCTGGATATAAATTCTTTGTCAGTTATACGATTTTTCAAATACTTTTTCCCAGTCATTGGTTTATTTTTCCATTCTCTCAACAGTGTCTTTTGGAAGAGCAGAAATTTTTAACTTTGAGGAAGTGCCATTTATAATTTATTTAGGGTTAAGGTGTTTTTATTGATATCCTATCTAAAAAAGGTTTACCTATTCACAGTCACAAGGATTTACTCCTGTCTTTTCTTGTAGGAGTTTATACATTTGGATTTTATAGTTAGGTCTCAGATTCAGTTTGAATTGATTTTGTATGTTGTGATATATGGATTACAGTTTATTTTTGTGTATATGGATATCTACTTATTACAGAACCATTTGTTGAAAAGACTATTTTTCACTGAATAGTCTTTACATCATTGTCAAAAAATCAGTTGTCCGTGTGTTCATGGGTTTACTTCTGGATTCCTTATCCTGTCCTTTTGATCTACTTTTCCCCTTCAATGGTAATAGCACACTGTCTTGATTACTGTAGGTTTATAATGAGTTTTGAAATTAGGTAGTGTTTGTCCTATACCTTTGTTCTTTTTTACAGTTGTTTTTCACAGTTTAGGTGTTTTGTATTTGTATATGATTTTAACATCCACTTGCTAATTTCTTTGAAAAATATATAGAATATTTATTCGGATTGCACTGAATCTGCATATTAGTTTGTGGGGAATAAACGTCTTAACAATACTGAGTCTTCTGACTCATGAACACAGTATGTCCTCTACTTCTTTGGGTCTTCCTTCTCTCAGTAATGTTTTGTAGTATTCAATGTACAAATGTTCCATATCTATGAGCAGATAATTCAAAAATATTTCATACTTGTTGATGCTGCTGTCAATGGCATTATTTCTTAAATAGAATTCTTAGTTATTACATTTTCATGGAACCACCAGCAACCAGATTTTTAATAATGACTATTGAAGAATCCCGGTAAAAAGCACAGGCTACTCTAGGATGGAAAAGATATTTGATGCTTAATGTGCATGTACATGTATTTCTATATTAGCTTTTAGAAATCATTGGCAATACACTGAAACTAGGGATAAAAACGTACCCCCAACAGTTCTACAGGTAATCTCCAGAAAAATCAATCACTAAAATAATATAGGTTAGTAGCTTTCAACTTTATGTTTCTGCTATATTTGAATATGTTAAAATGTAAGGTTGTATTTTTTTGTCCCCAGTAAACCCACCTTAAAAAATTCCTGGGATCTTGGATGGTGAGAGAGCATTGGGGAGAGGGCATGCATCCATATGAGTATTTGTGAATGTATCAATTTGTATGTTGCTGAAGCTGCCAGGAATGTGTATGATGAGGTGTTGAGACTAATTACCATGTATTACGTCAGCGCTATTCATTTCCTAGCACATGTTAGTAACAAGATATAGGGGGTTGTTTGTTTTTTCCCAGTGTTCCTTGGCTAGCCTGGTTACCATGGTGACTCTGTGACTCTCATGGGATTTAGCGTAGAGCGAGTATCCATTTATGATTTTTGCCTGAGTCACTTGTTTTGATGATAGTTGTGTTGTTTTACAATTCTGATATTCCTTTCAAAACTATGAGTTGGCGTTTAGAAAAGTCTAAACTTATCCCTGCTTTCTGTCACATTTCCAAGTATTCTCTTTGGTATTCATGACGTGAATTTTAATGTCAGAGGCATCGCACTGACAGAATGAAGGAGGCAAAGTTGGAGTGGGGAACTTACATTTGTTGAAGACCTACTAGATGCAACACGATATGGGTTGTTATCTTCAGACTTTTTCTCTTCAAATGCTCAAAGTCATGCTCTGAGGTTGTGGGTGAGTCACTTCCCTTCCACCAGCCTCATTTATTCAACAGGATAGTAATTCCCAATCTTGCTGACCACACAAGAATACTCTGGAGATTAACAATGAACTCATATGGGAAAGCAATCTGTGATCTTAGGTGGGAGGGAAGGACTAGTCACTTTTGAGTAATTACCTTAACAGAGACAATCCAGATGTCCTAGAGTTCTCCATGGTGGGCATTAAATTAATGGCACAGTAATGTGAGGTGTTTTCATCAGAATTTTGCCAAGTATGGTTCATGGACTACTTCATCAAAATCATCATGGATTGCCTGTAAAAATAGTAGATATTTGGGTCTACCATAAGTCAGCTGAATGAAAAACAGGAAGGTGTGGTAGGAGGTATCTATATTTTGAGAAATTTTTCCAATTGATTGTAGTACTCACCCATGTTTGAAAAGCACTGCTGTGGATTTGCAACAAGGTCTATGAAAAATTTGAATCCTTTCATGTCTAATTTCATCATTGGTTGCTCCTACTACTTTGCTTTTAATATCTGTGTCATTTCTGTTTTGTGAAATAGGTACCAGTTCCTTCAATTCAGTAATTTTCATTCAGTGATTTATGTGTGAAGCATTGATCTAAGCACTGGGGAAACAGCACAGAGAAGAAGACAAACATGGTCCCCGGACACATCATTCTAGTTTGAGAAAACTGGTAATAAGCAGGTAAACAAATCAATCAGCAGGGTAGTTTCATATGGGGATTTGTGTTTTAAACACATGTAGAGTAGAAAGTGACCAAGATAAAGATAATTATAGATGGGGTTGTAAGTGAAGCTCCTTTTCAGGAAGTGACATTTGAGCTGAGTCCTGGATGACAAAAAGAAGCTAGGCACAGACTGACTTTCTGCCAGTGTGTACACAGTGTGCATGGGCACCGTGTGTTCCAAGAGCAGGGAAAAGCTCAAGTGCCTAGAGCCTGGCAGACAATGCACAGACTGGTGAGATGAAGTTGAAAGGGCAGATAGAAGCCATATTGTTTAAGCCACTGTAAGGAGTTTGGATTGTATTGTGAGTGTGGAGGGTTAGAGAATGGGAACAATATCATCTGACTCATGTTTTTAGAAAGTGACTCTGGTCACTGTGCAAAGAATGGACTGGAGAGGGAGAAGATAGTGTGTGGAGATAACCATTAGAAAATATTGCAGAAGTCTAGGGAGGAGCAAGCTGATGGTATCAGTGCTGCAGCCATGTGCAGAGGGAGAAATGGACCTTGGCAGGATGTGTTTGGAGGTAGGGAAGGTAAGACCTGTAGTAGCTGTGCGTGTGCATGTGCGTGGTGTGTGTGTGTGTGTGTGTGTGTGTGTGTGTGTGTGTGTGTGTGTGTGTGTTTCTAGCTAGTCTAGCTCCACCACCTCAAGTACAGCTCACAGTTGCAGTATTATCTTCAGTTCAGACCAGGACTGGCTTCTGATCTCAGATTTAGATATCCCACAAAAAGTGCTTCTGTTAATATTCCAGAAAAAATGATGGATACAGAAGGATAGCTGGACGTAAGTGAAAAGTTCCAGAAAACCATGTCTGATCCCATTAATCAAGCTCCCAACTTGCATCCCTCCCTGCCCGCTGCTGAGTCCCCTGGTCTACACTCAGAGTTGCAATCCTGACTCTGGCCACCAAGAGGCATTACAGCTATCTCCACATTCCTTGCTCTTTCTTAATGAAAAGGCGTAAATTTTGCAGAGTAAGTAATGTTATGAAACTTTTCTTTACTGTGATACCAGTAGTTCGGAATACCCATTTGTATACTAAAGCAGGCCAATTTGCTGTTGATTCCAAATCTACAGCGCATTCAGTAATTTATCTTTTCCTTCATTAGTGTAGGTTGAGATGTCCACACTGTAGGGGGGGTCCCTCCTGGAGAGCAGGGTGTTCACCACCCATCACTCCAACCCTGTACAGGCTTCTCAGACCTTCTTCCACCCTTTCCCACTGACCCCCTCTCCAGGACATTATGGACACAGCTGCCCAGACCCCACTCCAGTGCCTCATCCTCTCAGTCACTTCCTGCTGCCCTGGGCTCCCCCAATCCTGCCTCCCAGCAACAGCCCAGGTACATCAGACCTACGTGGTGTTTCATCCTATGGATGTCCCACAGTATGTTTTTACACTGTTTTACACCTGTCAGGGTTGTTTTTTTTCCAGACAGATTTAGAATCATTCTGCAGTTCTTTTCATAGACTGGGTTTTAGGGGAGGCTACCGTATTTTTCTGCTCCTTGCTTTGTAGAGAAGTTTGATAATAGTGGTACAGTGATGCCCCCTCATGACAGAAGCCTGAACTGCAGCAGCTTGAACATCGCTGAGCAGGAAGGTGGGAGGGAGGTGCTGTGGCCCATGCACACCCTGCAGTTTTCCGGAAGTGTGGGTAGAAAAAGGGGCATTCCCACTGTACAGGGGTACTGACGGCCACCAGACAGAAAGTGTAGCCTCTTCATGTGCTATGTGAAAGCACAAAATGATCACTTCTATGTTTATGCTTTCAAACCTCTGGATAAGTAGCTATAGACCTATATAAGCAAAAATGCATCTTGGCCACTAAATGATCTTTGTGACCCACATTTGCCCTCATTGTGGTCATCTTTGCATACACATGTGTTTCCATAATAATGTTTTTTTTTTTTTTTTTTTTTTTTTTTTGAGACGGAGTCTCGCTCTGCCGCCCAGGCTGGAGTGCAGTGGCCGGATCTCAGCTCACTGCAAGCTCCGCCTCCCGGGTTCACACCATTCTCCTGCCTCAGCCTCCCGAGTAGTTGGGACTACAGGCGCCCGCCACCGCGCCCGGCTAGTTTTTTGTATTTTTTAGTAGAGACGGGGTTTCACCGTGTTAGCCAGGATGGTCTCGATCTCCTGACCTCGTGATCCGCCCGTCTCGGCCTCCCACATAATAATGTTTTAAGTTTCTTTCCAAAAATAATTGTAGTCTCTTTTTTTATCAACCAGGTGGTTCATCATGTGGGTGCCCCAAAATTCATTTAATTAGTGTCCTAGTCATAAAAATGTAGTTGCTTTAACATTTTTTCCTGTTACAAACAATAGTATACTTAATATCCTCCTCATATATATGCAAATATATTTGTAAGTATTTCTGTCAAAAAAAAAAAAGTTCCTGGAAGTGGTCTTTCAAAACCCTGGAAACTGTAAAATTTTATGTTAACATAATGAAATCCAAATACTATTTCTAACTTATATTCCTTACATAACAGTATGTAAGGACCTTGTGTCTTCACACATTAGAAATAATGTGAATCACTGCTAATCGTATGGGCAACAAATCACCTCTCATCGTTATCTTCATTAAAACTTGTTTTGCTGAATTCTAGAATTCCATCCTATGGATATGATATCAGTTTTCTCAAACCTGTGTTATTCAGATTCCCTGTTATCTACACTGTGTGGAAGACATCTTTTCAGAGTCTATGCATGGCTGAAGGGCACAGTTCCTGTAGCTGTTTACACTGGTGAGCCAGGTGGGTCTTCTCAGAGCCCTACCAACTGTCTTGGAGGAATTCTAGTATTGTAATAACAGAACCTGGTTGCTGTACGTGTGTGTATTTGTCACTGCTTGTGTGTGTGCACAGCATTTCCCTCTGCTACCTTCTGCCCCTTCATAATTTGGTGTATCTGGTTGGTCTTTCTTCCTAAATTCAGGCCCAGAAATAAAGGAAAAGAATTTTCAGAATGACAGTCCTTATAACCAGATGCTTATCAGCATCCTTCACAATGTCCTGAAGATAAATTTTTACAAGGTAAGTTATTGGCACAAAAAGTGTGCACGTATGTAGCCCTTTGATAAGTATTGCCATACTGACACCCAGAGAGGTGATGCCATTTTGATTCCTCAGGTGGAGTCACAGGAGAAAATCCAAAGAGGAGTAAAAAATAATAATGCTGATGTCATGTTAGAGTGGAGGCCCTGGACACTGTTGTGGACCCAGTCTCAAGTTTCTGCTACAGTTAGAAGATGTGGAAGTGATCAGGTGCAAATCGAATTTTTCACACAAGCGAAGCCCGAGTCAGCATGGGGGGCGGTGGCGGAGGGGCAGGGAGAGACTGTCATTGATAGAGAGTTACTTAGGACACAGTCAGCAGGGCTGGGATACAGCTACAGTTTTATATACATTCATGGGTATAGAAAACATGGACATCAAGGCCTTTGTAGGAAAAAGTTTGGTCATTACTGAGGTACAACAGAAGCCCAGGCTTTCTTGCAATGTAATTACAGACAATAAAATTCACACTTTTAAGGATACAACTCGATGATTTTCAGTAAACAAAAGTTGTGCAATCATCACCGTAGTTGAGTTTTGGAGGTTTCCATCACTCTAAAATGTCCCATCACACTTGAAGGCAGTTAATCTCTGCTCTCACCCCCAGCTCCAGGAATCACAGATACGCCTTTTGTTTCTGTGGATTTACCTGTTCTGGATATCTCATAGAAGTGGAATCATGTAATATTTTGTCTTTCGTGTCTGACTTCTTTCACTTTACATAATATTTTTAAGGTTTATCTATTTTGTAGCATGTACCAGCACTTTATTCCTTTTTATTGATATACCACATTTTGTTTATCCAGTCAATTGGTGAACACTTGAGTTGTTTCCAGTTCTTGGCCATTATGAATTATGATGCTACATATATTTTTTGTGGAAGTTTTTATGTAGACATAGGTTTCCGTTTCTCTTGAGTATGTACCTGGGAGTAAAGTTGCTGGGTTATATGGCAATTTTCTGCTTGACAATATGAGGAACTCTCAGAATATTTTATTGACCCTGATAGTCTTGAGGAGTACAGCCTTAATCTGTTGTCTTTTTCTCATGATTAGACCGGCATTATGGAATTTGAGAAAGAATACTACAGAGTTGAAGTGCCCTTCTTATCACGTAATATTTGGGTTTACATGATGATGTGACCTCACTGGTGATGTTAACTTTCATCATGTAGTTAAAGCAGTGTTTGCCAAGTTTTCCAGTGTACGGTAACTTTTTCAATTCATGTACTCTGTTCCTGAGAAGTGAGTCACTAAGTGTGACCTATATTCAGGGGTTGAAATAGAATTAAGCTCCACCTCTTGGAGGGTTAATAGCTACAAATACTATTTGGAATCATTCCATAAAGACAGTTTGTCTTCTCACACGCTTTTCTTTATTAATTCACCAAACATTTACTTATATCAGTATGGATTTATGCATACTTATTTTAAAGTGGAAATATTTTACTTAATAGATATATCCCAAAAAAATTCCAGCATCATTATTTCAGTGGTACACTAAAAGAATTTTGACTTAACTATCAGGAAACTGCAAAAGAGCTCCCTATCACCGCAATTATATTTCATCACTATATTTTCTAATTGTGATATATTAGTGCTTTTAGACAATATTTTTAATCATGGCAAAGTTTGGAACAGCATTATAACTTCACATTATTTCATTGCCTACTTGGTACCCCTTGAGAAAGAAATAAAAAACAGATAAGGCAAGATTATTGAAGTAGCCATAAAAATTACTGCTAACATAAAGTAAACCTATTTATGAACTCCCTATCAATGAATCAAAAGTATAAGCTATGTCAGGTAAAATGTGTGCTTCATTTGAAAGCATGTCATCTACAGCTCAGCCTTCTGGTTATCTGACTCTGAACGCTGTTATACAACTCTAGCTTTTAGGTAACTGATAGCATTGCATACTATCTTTGTCTATAGACACAAGGAAATGAATTCTGTCTTGAGGGAGGGAAACCTTTTCCTCCTTGGGAGATACCCATTTATCTCCATTTGAACATTTATTTCAACACTCTTGATCTATAAATGTGACAAAGAGGTGGCTGTAGACTTGGGAGAGTTCAAGTTCAGTGGAAGGATGGGGGAGGTAAGCCCCATTAGATAAGAAATGAAGACTGAGGTGTAGGGAAGTGCAGAGGGAAGTGAGCTGAGTATTGAGAATTCTTCATAGAATATTGATTGCAAATGGGAGAATATATGTAAAGAGAACATCAACTAAAGATGTAGAAATGGCTCCATGGCACTGAATTATGTTTTACAATCATCAGTGATGAGTCTCTATGATTAATCTGTTAGTGGAAAGAGCCATCTGAATTTACCACACCCTCCTTTCCACACTTCACTTTCTTGTTTCTCTTCTGGGGAAGCCTAAAACTTAACCAAAGGGATGGTGTAGAGTTTGGTCTTAATGCCTAGTAACTGTTAACTGAGGAATGACTGAATGGGTGGATGCACAATGTGTCAAACATGTGCTGATAATTCACAAATTTTTATCTCCTAGCACAGAGCTTTTATGCAGATGACTGAACCCATGGAGTTAGGTGGCTGAGAGGATGCAGCTTCCCAGGTCCCTACAACTGATGGCAGCAAGATGGGAGCACCCAGCTACAGTGTTCAGAAGTAGATTTAGGCTGACTACCACACCTTACATGCTGGAGGGATCCCCCCTGACCTGAGCAGGTGAGGTCTCAGGCTTGTTTTCCATCATGAGGAGAGGATTACAGCCTACTCAGAAGTAAGTTGTGGTCCAGCTCTTGTGTCATTCAGAAAGACTCCAGAACGTGTAGATCCAGCTCCTCTCTAAACTTGAACTCAACCAATATCCCAGAGAGACATTCTTAATCTTCTAGGCAAATGCAGTGTCATTAGGAGCCACCAGAGACCACACAAATACACACACACACACACACACACACATACACACCCTGGAGCCTTAATGCCAGCAGTAGCCCTAGGAGAACCTGCAGGCTCATGTGCTTGTTGCTCATTGTCTGTTAGGCTGCATATGTAACTGGACCCTTTTGCATTAAAAAAATAGCAATAATGATGATTAACAGAGTATTTGTTTAATAGGGAATTATTTAAAAATTACCTTAGTATCCAGTTTAATATGATGACAATGAGAGAATTTCCACCGTCATGTTGTCAAAGTATTTTAAAAAACCGTCGAGGATTTCAGTGAGGTGTGCATGTGGGTATGTCTACTCTGTCTCATATTGGGGGAGGGGATATCACTTAGTACAACCTCTTTCCAGGTTGATTTGGCAATATCTTTTAAGTCTATGCATCCCCAATCTGTATGTATTTGGAGCCTGTCCCTTCAAGTATTCATCCTTAGTGTGACACCTGCCCCTCTATTAGAGAATGCATATTCCTCATGAGGTAGGTTGTCTGGGAGCTCTACTTTTGAAAGCACTGACCCAGACACATTCCCTTATCTTTACAGAGCAGGAAATTGATGTACAACAAGATTCTCTGATCAGAAAGAGAGGCAGAACTAGCAGCCTGGCTTCAGCGGTGAAGATACAGATTTCAGTAGTGACCCAGGTCAGCAGGAAAGCAAGATTTACTTGGTTATCGTGTGATATGCAGCTCAGCATCATAGAGTCTGCATGGGGCCTTACGGGGTGCTGGTCTCTACTTTTCTACTTACTGTAGAATGCTCCCCTGTTGGGGACCAGCCTCAACACCACCCGTAGGGTACCCAAAGTCTGGCGGCGATGAAGGAATGAGAAGAGATAGGTTAAGAATGCATAAAGAGTGGGGACCAAGAGACCAATTGCAAAATGGAGGCTGCAAAAGGTGCCAAGCTCTGGTCTCCACACTATTTATTGAGTACAGTCACTTATATCTAAGAAGCAGATGTTCAGGGCGAAACGGTGAAAGGGAGGCAATGCATCATGCACGTAATCTATAGCAAATGAATCTTCTTTGGGCTCAAACAGTGTATCTTTAACTTATGGGAGAGTAGCGAGTGGGAGCGGGTTTAACTAGAAGCCTGCACATCTGGCCGTATTCCAATGCTTCAAAGGAGTGTCTTTCTCCTTGAACACAGTGTTTATAGATAAGAGAGCAAGTCTCGCTCAGAGCATGGGAACATAATGGCAATAAGAAGGCTTTCCTCCTCAGAGGCCTCTTGTGGTTTTCCACAACTTATTGTCCATATTTTTATGGCCAGTTTATACAGGCACCCTATAAGCCTTTCTCCCAACACTCCCCAGCCAGACTACTTAACCTACAAACATTTTTGCTTCTCTAGCTATAAAATCACATAGAGGTCATTACCTCTACCTCCTGGTAATGTTGTGGAAATACATGAAATAAAAATGCACCAGCATTCAAGAAAGGTGAGTCCCCGTTACTCTCTTAGGTCAGGCATCCTGGCCTTCTATGGGATTTGTAAGCTCCCATCACCTATATGGCTCTGCAGCTTGCCTTTTTTTCAGAAAAACAGCATCTATCCAGGTTTTTATTTGCATTTCATTAGCGAATGTGTTTTTAAATGTTTCTTGGACATGTATATTGCTGTTTACATGAATTCTGTTTATATCTTTATTAGCTATCTTGCATAACCAATTACCTCCAAATTTTGCTGCTTAAAGCAACAAACATATTAATACACACCATTTCTATGGGTTAGGAATCACGGCACAGTTTAGGTTCTGGCTCAGAGTCTCTCACAAGGCTGCAATCAAGGTCTAGGTAGGGACTACAGCCATCTCAAGGCTCAATGGAGGGAGAATCCAATTCCAAGCTCATTTATATGACTGTTAGCAGCCCTCAGGGCCTCAATGGTTCTTGGGCAGAGACATCGATTGTCACATGGTTAGCTCACATCATGGCAACTGGCTCTCCTTAGTGCATCTATAAGAATGTGCCTAGCAAGCACAACACAGCTTTTTGTCACTTGATCTCAGAAGTGACATCTCATCCCTTCTCACATATTTTAATTTTTAGGAGCAAGTCACTAACTCTAGCCCACACAATGGGACAGGTAACACAGGGAGTGAATACACAAGGAAAATGAGGATCATAGGGGACAATCTTAGAGGGTGCCTACCACAACATCATCAGACCATCTCTCCATATTGGCTACTGGGAATGCTTTATATATTATGAGAATTAGCTCCATGTAATTTGTGCATATTTACTTTAGCCTACTGAGACAAGCTTTAATGATTTATTTTGTCATACACAGTGTTTTAAATTTTTCAATATTATGATTTAATATACAGATCATTATATAAATAAATTAAGCAATGACCAGGGCAGCATTAATTATTATTGTCCAGGGAGATTAGAGCATTTGGATTCCTGGAGGCTTCAGAACACATGAAAAGCTTTAGTGAAATTCCAGACTCCACTCCTGAGGAGACAATAACCAAAGCAGTATCTCTGGTTTATACAACCTCTCTTAATTTCCTATAACTTGATCTAAACTATGTATTTAATAATAGGTTACTTGAATAAATGTTAAGATTAAAGGAGATACAACTTAGAGTACATCTTCTTTATAATTAGTTTTGTCAACTTTAGTTTCCTACCCTCTAGATCTTTGTCCCAGAGGAAGCACCTGTTATTCTGAATAAGCCTGTCTGTCTGCCACCTTAAATGCCAGTCAATTCACATGATCCACATACCAAGGTCTCTTGGCCCCAGGCAGAGGATTTCACTTCCACCATCATCATCCTCATCATCATCACCAAGAGGGGTTGTTGAGTGAACAGGCGTGGGGATTGTACAATTACCAGTCCCTAACCCTTGATGGGGCATCATATACAGAAGAGGTTGCTGGGTGCTATGCTTTGAATGTCCCCTCCAATTGAAATGTAATAGCCATTGTAACAGTATTAATAAGAGGTGACTTTAAGCAGTGATTAGCCCATAAGGGATCCACCCTTATGAGTGGATTAATGCTGTTATTGTGGGAGTGGGTTAGTTATCATGAGAATGGGCTCCTGATAAAAGAATTAGTTCAGTCCTACTTCCTCTTTCTGTCTCATGTGCTCACTTGCCCTTCTGCCAAGTTATAATGTAGCATGAAGGCCCTTGCCAGATGCTGAAGCCATGTTTTTGGACTTCCCAGTCTCCAGAACTGCAAGAATATATTTTATTTCTTTATAAATTACCAAGTCTGTACTATTCTGTTATAGCAGCAGAAAATGGACTAACAGAAAATTGGTACTGAGACATGGTTTATGGCTATAACAAATACCTGAAAATGTGGAAAGAGCTTTGGAACTAGGTAATGATGGGTAGAGGCTGGAAGAATTTGAATGAACAGGCTAGAAAAAGCCTAGACTGCCATAAATGTAGCTATAATGGCAATTCTGGTGAGAGCTCAGAAGAGGAGAGCTGTAGGAAAAGTCTGAATCTTCTTAGATAGTATTTAAGCCTTAAAGTAGTTCAAGGGGTTGTGACCAGAATGTTGGTAGAAATACGGATAGTAAAGGCCATTGTGATAAAGTCTCAGACAGAAATGAGGAACAGGCCGGGCACAGTGGCTCATGCCTGTAATCCCAGCACTTTGGGAGGCCGAGGTGGCTGGATCACCTGAGGTCAGGAGTTCGAGACCAGCCTGGCCAACATGGTGAAACCCTGTCTCTACTAAAAATTTAAAAAATTAGCCAGGCATAGTGGCAGGCATCTGTAATCCCAGATACTTGGAAGGCTGAGGCAGGAGAATTGCTTGAACCCAGGAGGTGGATGTTGCAGTGAGCCAAGATTGCGCCATTGCACTCCAGCCTGGGCAACAAACTCCATTAAAAAAAAAAAAAAAAAAAAAAGAGGCCGGGCGCGGTGGCTCAAGCCTGTAATCCCAGCACTTTGGGAGGCTGAGACGGGCGGATCACGAGGTCAGGAGATCGAGACCATCCTGGCTAACACAGTGAAACCCCGTCTCTACTAAAAAATACAAAAAAATAGCCGGGTGAGGTGGTGGGCGCCTGTAGTCCCAGCTACTCGGGAGGCTGAGGCAGGAGAATGGCGCAAACCCGGGAGGCGGAGCTTGCAGTGAGCTGAGATCCAGCCACTGCACTCCAGCCTGGGCGACAGAGCCAGACTCCGTCTCAAAAAAAAAAAAAAAAAGAAAAAAGAAAGAAAAGAAGTGAGGAACAATGTAGGAAACTGGTGTAAAGGCCATCCTGTTATAAAGCAGCAAAGACCTTGGCTGAATTTTGTCCATATTCTAGGGCTTTATGGAATGCAGAACTTAAGAGTGATGAAGTAGGGTATCTGGTGGAAGAAATCTCTAAGCATCAAAGCATTCAAGCTGTTACACAGCTACTTTTAACCACATACAGTGAGATGTGAGAAGAAATAAGTGACTCAAAGTATGAATTTGTAATTAAAAGAGAAGCAGAGCAAAAAAAAAAGTTAGAAAAATTTACAGCCTGGCCATGTAGAATAAAAAGTGTGTTCAGGAGAGAATACTAAGGGTGTGGCCAAGCAACTATTTGCTAAAGAGGTTACTAACGTGAATGGAAGACGGACAGATGCTATTAATCAAGACAATGAGAAAAAGTCCCCCAAAGTATTTCAGAGATCTTTGAGGCTGCCCCTCTCATCACAGACCCTGAGCTACAGGGGGACAAGCCCAGGATGCCTTACATGGGCTTGCTGCAAAGAGACACTTGGGTCTCTTCTTCCCACATTTCAGGACAGTGCTCCTCAGCCACCCCAGTTGCTGTGGCTTAAGTGGCTGCAGGTGTGACTCAATCTGCAGCTTCAGAAGACACAAGCTGTAAACACTAGTGGTATCCATATGGTGCTAATTCTGAAGAGTGCAAGAGCTGTGTGGGCATGGCTTTCTCCTCCTAGATTTGAAAGGATGTCTCAGACCGCCTGGAGATCCAGGCAGAGACTTGCACAGGGATAGAGTTACCACAAGGAGCCCCTACTAAGGCAATACCTAGTGAGGTGTCGAGTATGGCCATCTCAGAGACCCCAGAACTATAGAGTTACCAGCATGCAACTCCAGCCTTGGAAAGCTGCAGGCATGAGACTCCAATTTGTGAGAGCTGCTGAGTAGAGTGAGTTTAGCAAATCCATAGAGGCAGGACTGCCTGTGTCTTTGAGGGCCCAGTTCCCATCCCAGTGAGCCCAGTATTCAGGACATGGAGTCAAAAGAGAATGATTCTCTAGCTTTAAGACTTAATGGGCCTTGCACAGTGGCTCACGTCTGTAATCCCAGCACTTTGGGAGGCCAAGTTGGGTGGACTGCTTGAGCTCAGGAGTTTGAGACTAGCCGGGGCAATATGGTGAAACCATATTGTATATATTTTGTATGTTTTCTACAAAACATACAAAAATTAGCTGAGCATGGTGATGCACGTCTGTGGTCTCAGCTACTTGGGAGGCTGAGGAAGGAGGACTGCTTGAACCCTAGAGGCAGAGGTTGTAGTAAGCCAAGATCATGCTATTGCACTCCAGCCTGGGTGACAGAATGGGAAAGTCTGTAAAAAAAAAAAAAAAAAAAAAAAAAAAAGAATGTTGTTGGCCCTGTTGGGTTTTGGACTATGCTTGAGGCCTGTTACTCCTTTCTTTTTGCCTGTGTCTCCCTTTTAGAATGGGAATGTTTACCTACACCTGTGTCACTGTTGTGTTTTTGGGAGTTGACAGCTTGTTTTGATTCACATGCTCACAGCTGGAAGGAATTTGCCCTAGGATGAATTGGGTTTTGAGTCTCACCCATAACTGATTTAGATGAGACTCTGGACCTTGGACTTTTGAGTTGATGCTAGAATGAATTAAGATTTTAGGGGCTACTGAGCCGGAATGAATGTGTTTTGTACCTCAGGAAGAAATAGCCATCAGTGGCTAGTGCCTACCATATTGGGCAGCAGCAGCTTTACATATTTTTTCCTTTGCTTTTTATTCCCTTAACAGTATATATTTTGGAGATCACTACATAATAGAGTGGGAGTTCTCATTGCTTGTTATATCTGCATTGTACTCTAGGAGGTAGATGTATCTGAGGTTATTCGATCAGTCCCTTATTGGTGGACATCTGTCACATTCTGGGTCTTCTGCTGTTACAATTTGTTCTGCCAAGAATGAACCTTGTGCTTCTGCCTTTTTGTCTTTTTGAATTGAATCTTTGGGTTACATTCTTAGAAGAGAGATTGTTGGTTCCAACAGAAAATACCTGTGCCCTGTGAAATAGATTTTAAACAGAGAGCATCTGGAAATGTAGCAGCAAGAAGTGAATGTTGGTCCTATCTCATCATTTCTCTTATTCCACATACTTTCTGCTCTCTTATTTTCTTTCTAGTGTGACACGGGTAAAGGAATTTCTTATGGAGCCCCAGGAAGAAGAAACACTACATAAGAGCAAATAATAAAATCGGTCAGATAGACAGAAGATGGGAGTCATCAAACCTGTATCCCTGTTGCCAGACCTACAACTGACCATAGGACATTCAGTGAGTCCTTTCCCTTTCTTGGTCTAAGTCCTAACACAGAAAGACACTCAATATAGAAACAGTGGATAGGGAACCCTTAAATCATCTGAAACTTCATGTTTACTGACTTTAAATTAGTTGCCCTCCAGAGCAAAGGACTATATATTGTGATGATGTGGTTTTCCCATACATGGCACACTCCCACTGCAACACCCAGTGTTGTCCACAATTCTCAGCTGTATAGCTATGAATAACTCCACCCCTTTCTCTCCCACTCGGAAAATTATTTCATAATTCAAGAGAGTGAGAGAGTTTTTATAGGTACAACACTGATTCAGCTATAACATAAACAATCCTCAAGCTTCAGTCAACTATTACAAGTAACAAGTTACTTATAATACACACAATGATTGTGACACATTAGCTTGTCATGGCACCATGAATAAGAGGCTCTCATGTAGAATGGCAGCCGTTGCAAGACTGTCTTGACAATAGCTCTCATTGGAAGCCAAAAATACTATACATCCAACCATCTTGAGCTATTGCTACTATTAGAAATACAAATAATATATGGCATTGATTAAATTATTACTCTGTGTCTGGCCCTGTGTTACGTTACATGTTTTATCTTAATTGATACTTTCTCCATATGTGTCTACCATTTTAATCTTTTTTATTGAAAGGAAACTGAGGCTTAGAGGGTGTAAGTAATTGCTTAAGATGTAGTAAGTGACAAAACCAAACAAATACAAGGCCGTCTAATGTCAAAGGATATTCTTTTAGCCAATGCTTTCCTTTACCAGAGGAAATTTCTCCAAATATTTGATAATTATTTACCTATAAAGTCTTCTATATACAAAGTAACCTCTCTCTCTCTCCAGACTCCAAACTGCCCTTCTTAGTGGCACCACTATTTTGGAGTTATTGTGTATCTGTCCAGAAAAAAACCTCTTCATGTAAAAACTGTATGTGTATGTGTGTTTATGTACTTATAAAATATTAATACTAATATTTTTAAGAAGAAACAGTGGACTGGGGTGTGGGCTTTGGGATTATAAAAACTTGGATTTGACCCTGGGAACCATTAACTGTTGTTTGTGTAATTTAGAGCCAGTAACTTATCTACCATATGTCCTATAATTGTTTTCATCTTATATTATCATTTATTATTATTACTATTTGTATCACCTATCCAAAGGCTGGATAATAGGAGTGGAGATTATACTGCCTGGTATTACAATGTTCCTCAAACCTATAATTTTATAACTGTTGGATAGCATGCAAATTAAAGGAAGTCTATAGAAAGCTCTTGAGTAGACCCAGGTGTATAACATTATTTAATATGCTGCAGGTATGGCATTTCAATTCCAATGCATTGTTCAAGAATTGGGGCTGTGTCAACTGGATAGAGTAAGATGTTAGATCTTATACCTTGTCATTTAATTAGAACACTTCATAAATGTGTAAGTATTTAAGATAAAAGCAAAAAATATAAAAAACACAGGACACTAAACTGCACATATGGTTATAGTGGTTACATGAATTGTATATATAATGTACAGTACATGTGTATATACGCATGAAAAAATAACCACCAGAATGACATAACACAATCTTAATTTCAGTTATGATAGAGTTACTGGGTATTGATATTTTTAACCTCTGCACTTGGCTCAATATTAAACATTGGCTGAGTAGGGATTATATTTATGATTAAAAACTAATCCCTTCAACCTCTGCTACTTATGAAATATTTTAGATGAAATGTATAGAGAGCTATAAAATTAGTCCAGGTTAAGAAAAATGTTTACTCCTCCCTGATTGTGTCCCTTTCTTTCTTCCCTAGAGATAATCATATCCACAGTGAGATAATTATAATTCCCCTATACTACTTTTTTTCTTTTCCTCCATATGAGAACTCCCTAAACAAAATGTAGCATTGTTTTGCATGTTTTCACTGCCTTCATGCACACACACACACACACACACACACACACCCCTAATCCTTCCATTCAAGGGAGCATTATGAGGAGTTTATGGGGAGACCTTCCTCAAGATCCAAGTGTGGTATTTGGTGCATCATCCACAATGCCAGTATTTGCTTTTTACCCATCCCAACACTTTCATCTTTAACAAGGATGTTATTTCTTAGCCCATTCATTTCTACTTTTACCCTTAACTATTTTTTTTCCATCTACATTCTTTTATTTACTTTGTGGGTTTTTAAATCAGGATTTTAAAATTGAATATTTAATTTTCTTTTTTATTCATGTAGATATTTAATGCTTTATAATATCTTCTGACAGCTACTCTAGCTAGATTTTAATATGTTGCTTTCATCATTATCCTCATCAAATTCTGCAATTTTCCTCTATTCTCGTTGGGCCCAAGATTTTGTTAACAGCCTCAGATAGAGTCCGTTTTCATGAATGTTCTATGTTCATTTGAAAAGCATGTGTATTGCCTAATATCAGGCTTCAGAGTTCACTGTGTCTATTTATAAGCTCTACTCTTGGGAGTTGGTTGTTTAGGTCTTCTCTATAATTACTAATTTTTTTCTCCACTTGAACATTTTTGAATTCAGGAAAGTATTGTGTGCTTTGGTACATAAGTATTAGTATCTCACATTTTCCTTGTGAATTGTAGCCTTTAGCATTATCAACTGTGCCTTTTTATCTCTTTAAATCCATTTTGGTCTCAATTCTACTCTCTCAAATATCAAGATTATAACTCCTGTTTTCTTGTTATGGGCAATTGCTTGGTATATATTTACTTGTTTTTAAACTGTTAACCTACCTGAATTCATTTGTTTAAGGTATATCTCATGAAAAAGCATAATCTTGGATTTTGCTTCGATAGGAAATTTGCAAATACTTTTTCTTTAATAGGTGAGTTAAGTCCATTTACCTTTATTGTTATTGTTCCTGGAATCAAGCCAGGTCTGGCTACATTTTCTCGAGGCCCGATAACAAGAAGCAGACAAACTAGGAAAGAAGGGGATTTACTACTGTAACTGGATACAGGGAGAAAGCCAGAGATAATTCCACCAGACCAACTCAAAGTGTTAAATTTTCTTAGGGCTTATATAGGTTGGGGTTATGTGCCTACTACGTGCAGTACAGCATTCGCCTAAGTCTACTGGTAACCAATTTTGTTTCAACTAGAAGGTCAGAGGCAAAAAAAATGCTTGCTAAGTCTGATTAAAAGGGCCCCAGTAGCTTCAAGGACTGTCTACTGTTGTACCAGAGTGATTATTTCTATCTTATCTCCTTTACAGCTTGGTCCAGAGAGCTGCCTTAGACTCTCCAATGAATCTGTTCAAACAGCTGCCTCTGTTACCTTGACTTCTCTCAGATTTTGTCGACCTGAGGTGGGTCCTATTGTAAAACTGTTTCTGTTATTTTGGCTTGCTCCAGCAAGGGAGAAGCCCACACAAGGCTCCTACTGACTGTATGTTTCATTTCTAGCTTTGATGTCTGGGCAACAGTTTCCCTAGGTTTAACTATTTGCTCAATGTTAAGGCAGCACTGTGGAAATTTGTCTGTGTAACTGGGGTGCTATGCCGGCCTGTCTGTGTGACTGTCATGCAGGCCTGCCTGTGTGATTGTCAGGGAGAATTGGCTTCCCATAATATGATCAAAGTCTTTGGTCATTTAAGTTCAGTTCTGTAGTATTGTTTATAAATATAAGGAAATTATATAGCCTTTCACTAGGTCATGTGTTTGATTTCTTCTTCCTATTTATTTAGTAATTAGCATGGTTATTGTTTTGTTTCAGTGGTTACTTTTATATTAAATCCTTAACTATACTACATCCTTGATATGGAATGAAGTCTTACTAATGAATAGAGAAATGGTTAAATGATATTAACAGATAATTCACACTAAAAAACAATATGTATACCCATTAAACTTTCAAAAATATGCCAAATTACAATAACTAAAGGACTGAAAACTAATATCCTAGGCTACCATGCTGAGTGAGAAAGAAAAATTGCTGAAACATACATATAATCTGATAACTTTGGGAAATAATATATATAAACGAATATTTTGTGTAATACCCCATTCTTGCCTCTTGATAGATGAATAGGACCCTCTAGCAGTGAGTTACCCTTATTGAATCTGACCTTGCTAACCTATAAAATGGGCATAATGACATTTACTTCAGAGAGCCATGAGGAGGAATGAGCAAACCTAAATAAAGCACATGGTACTTAATACTTCAACAAATATATGCATAATCTCCCTTATGTTCTCCCTCCCACAAGAGATGACTTAAACATCAACATCTCAAAGAGATCAATGGATTTGAACCATCAGAAAAAGAAATGCATACATATTTATATGATGTATAAGCTTTGGTGCTGTTTCTTTCTAGGATGAGATACTGAGGATGGTGGAAATAAGGAAGCAAATTATAGCCTCATTACTTTTTATTTGTTGTGTTCTTCTCTTCTTTTTAAATTTCTATTTGGATTCTGAAATAACAAGTTCCCATTGAGGGCCAGAAAGGAGACAGCACAGAATGACAGAATGTGAAGATGGGTCTGCTATGCAATGGGCTGAAATCAGGAGACCTTGGCCCCCAATACCAGATCTGTCCTTGTGTACAGGACCGTGGGGAGTCACTTCCCCTGTGTTGGTCTCTGTCCTTACACAGAAAAAGACTGTATACCTAATGGTTAAGGACGTGAGCGTTGGCATCAGTAAAGTGAGGAGAAAATTGGGGCACATTTAATTACTGGTTTTACGATGTTTAGGAAATGTTGAGTCTCCAGATAAATGAAACTCATACATTAAATATGACTGCATAGAGAATAAAACGGGAGGAACTGCAGAAAAAAAGGATACATTCTTCAAAATTAATGAGTGGTGGGTTGGTACTTAATTCTTTATCTCTTAACTATGTTTTCAACAATTTCTAAATTAGTATGGTTCTTTTTTAAAGTCAGAAGCAAGCTTCATTGAAACAGTTGTTATGAAATATTTCAGAAATACAAAAATTATAGAATGTAAGAGACGTCCCTGTTCTCATGTTGACATACGTAATATTACATATGCAGTTGAAACTCACTTTGAAGACTTCTCTGATTGCAAGCCTCCTTCTTTCTCAGAGGTAACACAGAATTCACATTATAGATTTTAAAGACATTGCCCTATACTTTTATTACATATGCATGTATCTGTAAGTGAGAATTGTATTGTTTTGTAGCATGGTTTTTTCTATAGATGCCTGGCTACCTCATGGGAAAAAAGGGGAAAAAAAAAGGAAGAAACGTGAGGAGAACAAACACATAATCACATCTCAACAGTAGGAGCTGCATGGCCTCCTTGTCATGGGTACTCTTGCAGACATTAAAACAGACATGCCCATTTTCTCAGACTATATGCTATAGGGAGCACAAACAAGCTGTAGCTACTATTTTCAAATGCTTTTTCCCAGCGTGTTCAAAGTCTTAGAGTTTCTCTGGAGCTAACTGGCCTAAAACAATGTCTCAGTGTATCCTAATATTGAAACAACTTCCCATTTGTCTGGGCCAAATTATCTGTCTTTCATGCTCACTGTAACCCTTCAAGGCCTAATCCAGAACCTAATCTTGGCTATGCTGGTAAAAGATAGTACAGTCTACCACCCAAATCCCTTATTGGCTTGGAGATGAATCTTATTTAGAACTTGATCTGATTTTGTTTTACAATTGTTGGACCTGTGTATATTTTCCTTCCTTTTCTTCTACTATTTTTAATTGCACAGGGAAGGTATTTCAAAAGTTTTAATTCACATGTGCTGATTGTTCCTGCAGTTCTTTGCTGAGTGAGACTGTGACTCAACTTTTACTCCAAACCCAGCTGTGTTAGGATCCTTCCTCTCTGGAGCTGTGGTGCTGAACCCTGGATGGTTTCATGCAGTCCCTCCCTCTTTCCCACCCCTGTGGCAGTCACTGCTTGGCTAACTAGGTGGGTAAACAGAGGAGCGTACTATCAATTCAAGGGGCTTTCTTTGGGAGAGTGCAGAGAGAAGCATGCTGTGAAACTACTTTCATCTTGTGACCTTCACTGAAATCCTGGGCAGTGGAGATGTCATCTGACTGCTAAATGTAAGCTTCATTTGAGAGACATGTTTTCCCTTCTCCTAGGTGTCTGTAATTTTTCTGAAGCTGCCCAACTGGGGCTATCATGTGGGTAGATTCATACATTAGTTCTGGGACCACCCTACTACTTAATTCCCTTGGCTTAGAGGTATTTCCTGTTCCAAAGCTGAACCATCTTATGGGGTAGGGCTGGTTATATTTATTTTTTCTGATTATCATTTTAACTTCCAAAACCAAGACACTTTTGTTGTAGATAAAAATGGAAAAGTGAGGAAAGCAAAAAAAAAATATTGAAAACTAATAAAAGTCTACTACTTATGTAGAAGCACTATTAACAGTTGAATATATATATAGTCATGTGTCACTTAATGATGGGGATACATTTTGAGAAATGTGTCGTTAAATGGTTTCAATGTGCTAATATCATAGAGTGCAGTTACACAAACCTAGCCTTCTACATACTTAGGCTAGATGGTACAGCCTGTTGCTCCTAGGCTACAAACCTGTACAGCATGTTACTGTACTGAATGGTCAGTATTTGTGTATCTAAACATATCTAAGCAATAATGATCAGTAAAATTATGGTATAAAATGGGGCCAGGTGCAGTGGCTGACACCTGTAGTCCCAGCACTTTGGGAGCCCGAGGCAGGCGGATCACATGAGGCCAGGAGTTCGAGACCAGCCTGGCCAACACGGGGAAACACTGTCTTCACTAAAAGTACAAAAACTAGCTGGGCATGGTGGCAGGCGCCTGTAATCCTGGCTATTTGGGAGGCTGAGGCACGAGAGTCATTTGAGCTTGGGAGGCGGAGGTTGCAGTAAGCCCAGATCATGTCACCACACTCCAGCCTGGGGGACACAGTGAGACCCTGTCTCCAAAAAAAATAAATAAATAGAAATAGAAAAGAAAAGAAAAGAAAGATACAAAATGGCACACCTATATAGGGCACTTACCGTGAATGAGGCTTGCAGGACTGGAAGTTGCTCTGGGTGAGTGAGTGAGTAGTGAATGAAAGTGAAAGTCTAGGATGTTACTGTACACTCCCATAGACTCTATAAACACTGTATACTTAGGCTACGCTAAATTTAATAATAAATTCAATACTACGTTTACAGTAACCTTTTTACTTTATAATTTTTTAATTTTTTTTTAACTTTTTGCTCTTTGGTAATAACACTTTGCTTAAAACACAAACACATTGTAGAGCTATAAAAAATATTTTCTTTCCTTTTTTTTTTTTTTTTTTTTTTTTTGAGACGGAGTCCAGCTCTGTTGCCCAGGCTGGAGTGCAGTGGTGTGATCTTGGCTCACTGCAACCGCCGTCTCCCAGATTCAAGCAATTCTCCTGCCTCAGCCTCCCGAGTAGCTGGGACTACAGGCACCCGCCACTACGCCCAGCTAATTTTTTTTTTTTTTTTTTTTTTTGTATTTTTAGTAGAGACGGGGTTTCACCGTGTTAGCCAGGATAGTCTCAATCTCCTGACTTCGTGATCCGCCCGCCTCGGCCTCCCAAAGTGCTGGGATTACAGGCCTGAGCCACGGCGCCCGGCCTCCTTTTTTTTGTTGAGACACTTTCTTGCTCTGTCGCCCAGACTGGAGTGCAGTGGCCTGATCTTGGCTCACAACAGGCTCTACCCCCCAGGCTCAAGCGATCCTCCTGCCTCAGCCTCCTCAGTATCTGGAAATACAGGCATGCACCACCACACTCAGCTAGTTTGTTTGTTTGTTTGTGTACTTATATATGTATGTATGTATGTATGTATGTATGTATGTAGAGACCAGGGCTCATTATATTGCCCAAGCTGGTCTCAAATTCCTGGGCTCAATGGATCCTCCCACCTCGGCCTGTTCTGGGATTACAGGCATGAGCGACCATGCCTGGCCATTTGCTTTCTTTATATCTTTATTCTATATGCTTTTTGCTATTAATTTTTTAAAACTTTTTTTGTTAGAAACTAAGACACAAACACACACATGAACCTAGGCCTACACAGGGTCAGGATAATCAATATCACTATCTTCCATCTCCACATCTTGTCTCACCAGAAGGTCTTTGGGAGCAAAGTAACATGCATGGGGCTGTCATCTCCTATGATAGCAATGCCTTCTTCTTGAATACCTCCTGAAGGACCTGCCTAGGCGGTTTTACAGTTAACTTTTTTAATATGTAGAAGAGTATGCTCTAACATAATGATAAAATATGTAGTATAATAAACACATAAACCAGCAACATAGTCATTTATTATCATTATCAAGTATTATGTATTGTACACAATTGTATGTGCTATACTTTTATAGAACTGGCAGCACAGTAGGTTTGTGTACATGGGCATCACCACAAACACATGAGGAATGCATTGAACTACGACAGTTACAACAAGAATTTACATGCAACAAGAATTTTTCAGCTCCATTGTAATCTTGGACTGCTGTTGAATATGTGGTCCTTCATCATTTGAAATGTTGTTATGTGGTGCGTGACTATATATTTTTTTCATAAATTCTATTATGCAAATATAACGATGCATATTTAGGAATGCCGTGAGATGATATCCTACTTACAGCTGTGCAAATGGCTTTTTTTTTTAACAGACATCGTAATATGAATGGCAATCTATGCCAATCAATAAAAATTCACATAATAATATAAATGGCAATACGTTAACACTGATTTTTTAAAAGGTTAATATTTATTATTGACATCCTCAGTTCCTGACACTGTTGTAAGAGCTAAACCTATAGTTATTTAATCCTCAGCATCATCTGTAAGGAGGAGCTATTGTTGCCTGCCTTTAAACATAAGGGAACTGAGGCACAGTGAAGGCAGGGCTAGCAAGTGTCGAGACTTAGATTTGAACATTGGCTGTGTGGCTCTCAAGCCCCTATATCTAACCAGTATGAGCAGCTGCCTTTCATCCAATAAGATCAGGGCATAGCAGCACAACTAAACAAATTAAGGTTTCCTGTTTTTTCTCAGTTAAGTAGGCAGACCTTTAATTAATTAATTAATTAATTAATAGACCAAGTTTTACTCTTATTGCCCAGGCTGGAGTGCAATGGCGCAATCTTGGCTCACTGCAACCTCCGCCTCCTAGATTCAAGCAATTCTCCTGCCTCAGCCTGCCAAGTAGCTGGGATTACAGGCATGCACCACCACGCCTAGCTAATTTTGTATTTTTAGTGGACACGGGGTTTCACCATGTTGGTCAGGCTGGTCTCGAGCTCCTGACCTCAGGTAATCCACCCACTTCTGCCTCCCAAAGTGCTGGGATTACAGGCGTGAGCCACTGTGCCCAGCCAACAATTAAATATTGATAGTATTCTGTGTAGTGTTGAATTTGGAAAAAATATGTTCAGTAATACTGTGGAAATACCTTGTCTCCCTTCCTGCCTTAGGGATACTCCTGTTCTGAAGTAAATAGTTTTCTTGTGGTTGGGAACACAGAATGGTTATGTTTTCCAGACATTTTAATATTTGTGTAATTGCAAGAGGAATAGTGCTTATTATAGGTAAAAATAGAAGATATAGAAAAGAAAAAATAGCTGGGCATGGTGGCTCACGCCTGTAATCCCAGCACTTTGGGAGACCAACGACGGCAGATCACCTAAGATCAGGAGTTCGAGACCAGCCTGACCAACATGGTAAAACCCCGTCTCTACTAAAAATACAAAACAATTAGCTGGGTATGGTGGCAGGCACCTATAATCCCAGCTACTGAGGAGGCTGAGGCAGGAGAATCGCTTGAACCCGGGAGGGTGACGTTGCAGGGAGCCGAGATCGCGCCACTGCACTTCAGCCTGGGTGACAAGAGCGAAACTCCATCTCAAAAAAGAAAAAAAAAGAAAAAAAATAATACCCCAAATCCTGCCACCCCAAGATAAGCCCTTGTAGTGATTTCACCTACATTATATTCTTCCAGAAGTTTTCTTTTGCAGGTAAATATATATGTACATATGTAAGTATGGGTGCATTTATATATTTACATACAAAAGATACTTCATCTTACATTTAGTTTTGTAACTTGCTTGCCTCACTGTAATGGGTTGAATTGTGTCTCCTCAAAAATATGTCCTAATTCTAACACCTACTATACCTTATTTGGAAATAGAATCTTTGCAAATCTAATCAAGCTAAAGACCTAAAGATATGATCATCCAATTGCCAGCATCATTATAAAAGAAAGGAGAGGCATATTTGACACAGACAGGGAGAAAGGCCATGTAAAGATGGAGGAAGAGATTGGAACTATAAAGCAGGAACCACCAAAAGATGGAAGAGGAAAGGAAGGATTCTCCCCTGAGTCTTCAGAAAGAGTTGGCCCTGTCTAGACCTTGGTTTTGTACTTTTGAACTCTGAAATAATAAATTTATGTAATTTGATATGGCAGTCCTAGAAAATTTATACACTCACTAACAAACCACAAACGGCATTCCTTGTGAATAAACTTTATATCCTATTTTTATGACTACAGTGATACTAATGCCAATAAAATATATAAAGAGAAATGACTGCATTTCTTATATACCATATGCATTTATGTATTGAGTCATCAAATTTTCACAGCACCCTTACAAGGTAGAAACTGTGGCTAATCTCTGTTTTATAGATGAAAAACTGATGACAGAGAATATGGACTCTGTCTGAGACTGTACAGTTAGGGAGTGAGACAGCTTATATTTGTGTCCAGTACATCATGCTCCAGAGCCTGGGAAACTGTGAAAGCTCTGTTGATAGGTGGAAGAAGTAGTCTGTACAAGCATGCATGTTTTAGGAGATTACTTTTAAAAAGGAATACTAATTATGATAATATATTTACACACACACACACACACACACAAAAAAAAAAAAAAACCAAAAAAAAAAACACAAAAAACAACTGAACCTAGTGACCAAAAGGTGAATTTTAACCTTGGTGAGATCATGTTTGTTGCAATCCTGGAAACAGACATCACAGTGCGATGGGATAAGGACCATGGGAAGTGAAGAATGTTAACAGAGAATGCAGAAAATTCTTTCAGTACTTTGAATTTGAAAGGGAAGACAGAGACCTAGAGATACAGACAGATACATTTATAGAGAGAAAGATTCTGTGACTGGATAGGAATGAAGGGTTTAATGAGAGACTTTAAAAAATCTTCAATTCCATGAAACTTCAGCAAGTTTTCAAATTAATGTGAAGAAGCTGTCTTATCTCAGGTTTATCCCTCGAAGTTGTCCATATATTTATTTCCCTTCTTACATTCTTATTTCCACTTTGGAGAACACGAGACCCTTCCAATGAACTAATAGGGGTTTTGAGCTCAATATATATTTACTTGTTAGTAAATGAAAGAATGGACATTGTATGAAAGAAATGCTAGTAACTCTTGGATTTTTGTCCTTCAAGGGAGGCAGCAGGTGGCTGAAATCCTGGTGTGATGTGGCTGGATCATGCATGATCTGAGGACTCCTGCACAGCTGACTGTAGGATGAGTACAGAATTTTTCTATAAATATACTAAAATACCAAGTAAGCCAGGAGCAGCCACTAGGCAAACACCAAACCTTGCATTCCTGGCCAGACCTATCACAGAGCTCATCAGGTAAGTTCAAAGACACACCTGTCTTCCCAGCATTGGGAACTGGATTGGGTTCTGCTCAGAGGCATGATGTTGACCAGATTTTATGAAACACCCAAGAATGTAGAGAACATTCTGTTTCTAAAACTTTGAATTCGAATCATATCAGAGAGATTTGCTTTCCTTATATGGATGTCTGTGTTCTCATTAGGAGAGAAACAATGAAAAATAACTTTTCACAATGCCTGCCTTAGCCCTGAGGCTCAGCCAGCCCCCACTTCTATGTCTCAGCATTTAAAGGGCCATTGAAGTCCCACTCCATGCTATATATTCTCAAGAGGTTTTCTCATTTACCCCTCAGGACAGCTCTGTAAAGATGGTATGGTCAGTCCCATTTCACAGATGACTAAGTTCAGGCTCACAGAGTCTAGGTCACCTCTCCAGGTAAGTGGCAAGGTTGGAATGAGATTCCATCCCTCACCCTCCCTAGAGAACCCTGAGCAACTTCCATTTTAGAAGACAGACTTCCAGGGCTTGAGAAATGGTCAGATTCCCCCCTGATATTGTGGCCCCACAGGTCCTCACTCCACAACTCCTCTGGGTGATAAGGAAGACAGAAGAGGTGAAATCCTGCACTTTGTGCCATGAGATCTGTGTGTAGGGCCACATGAGTTGGCTAATCCTTGAAGTGGTGAGTGGGCTCAGGCAGAAGCTCAGGTATTGGCCTTCGGACAGGTAAGCTGGAGAGAAGGAAAGTAACATGCACTGAACTACTGTAAGCAAATGCAATTTACAGCTCATCTCCTTTAATCCTAACAACCATTTAAAATACTCATCATTCTGACCATTATTCAGATCAGTGTGCTGTCTTTAGGGGAGTTTATGTAAGTCAGGGAAACAACCTAGTTGTCCTGTGATCATTAGCTAACTCTGGAATACTCCAAAGTTGTATCATTTTCTCTTGATATCTCCAGGGCTCTGAATATTGTAATCTCCCTGCAGGCTGATAGCGTCTTCTCCTCATGGTGTTGTTCAACAGTTTTTCTTTTTAAATTATGACCTGTATATTTTTTGTCACATTATTGACATTTAAAACACTTTCTCAATAAAAATAAGGCTAAGCATTTTTTAACATAAGGGAGAAAACATTTGCAAACTACACCTCAGATACTGGGTTAGTATCTATGATTTGTGAACCACATTCTGTAACAAAATGACTGGCAACTATTTTCAATAGAACATTCTCATTAAAATATACATGAACAATAAACATGTTAAAATTTGTCAAAACTGAAAGTACTAATAAGATGCAAATATAAATCTTCAAAAGAATATTATGTGGAAGAAACAAGTTGCAAAAAAAATTAGTACTGTGATTCACTTTTGGAACAGATTGTGTGTGAGTGAACATGTTTGTGTGTACCTCACCTACAGGGACACATCTGGAGAGTATGCACCATTCTGTTGACAACAGACCCTTTGGGTCAGAGGGTAGATGCAGAGTCATTTCAATTTATAAATATACTTTTATATATTGTTTGAAATTTTGTATTTAGGGAAAAAAGCATTTCAATAAATACTTTTGAATAGATTGGCAAAAGTAATTGTAATGTATTTCATTAATTTGAAAGTACATTCGTTGTTTGAGACAAAGTAGATAAAAATGGAATTGATAATGTCTGTGTGTGTATGTGTGTGTGTGTGTGTGTGTGTGTCTTTTGCTCTATCACCCAAATAAACATAGGTGCAGATTTACCTTCAATTCAGACAGGGGATGGAACCAGTATCAGTTTTAGATATCCCAGAAAATAGTGGATACAGAGAGACAGCTACCATGAGCTGAATAATTCCGGAAAACTCCAGCTTCTTGGAGCCAAGTTCCCAAACTCCATCATCCCTCTTTCCCTCTTACCGAGGCCCTTGTCTGACAGAGATGCAATCCTGTTTCTGGCCACCAGATGGCATCCATCTTTTTTTTAATAAAAAGGAGTACATTTTGTAAAGAGTAACGAAGGACTTAAAATGGTTTGTTTACCATGATCATAATTCTGTGTGCAAAAATTCATATATTTTTATTTATTTAATTTATTTATATAAAATATATATATGGATTTATACAAAATATATTTATGAATTTTTATTTTATTTATATTTATTATATATTGTGTATATATAATATATATTTTAAAGCAGTTGCATTATGGTGACCCAAGAATCTATATCGCATTCACTGATTTATCTTTTCCTTCCTCAGGGTAGGTTGAGGTTTCCACACTATAGAGGGGTCCCTCCCTCCCAGAGAGCAGGCAGTTCGCCCTCCATTACCCGACTCCTGTACGGGCTTCCCAGACCCTCTCCCACCCACTCTTAGTCATACCCTCTCTGGGACACTGTGGACACAGCCACCCAGACTCAGTTCCACCTCCCTCATCATTTCTCAGTCACCTTACGCCTGCCCCTGTGCTGTCCTATGCCGGCCGGTGGCTCCCAATGTGTGCTAGAGCTACCTGGTGTTTCATCGTATGGATGCCCCAGAGTATATTTATTTAGTCTTGTTTTGCAACTGTCAGTTTTTTCAGACAGAATAATTCTGAACATAGTTTCACAAGCTGTGTTTTAAGGGAGGTATCGTATTTCTTTTTGCTCATTGTATATATTGCTTTGCAGTCTGATAATGGTGCTACGTTAGTGCCCCCTCGTGACAGAAGCCTAAACTGCAGCTTGAACATCCGGGAGCAGGAAAGTGGGAGGAAGGGGCTGTGGCCCAAGCCCACCCCACAGAGCTTCCCGTAAGTCTGGGTGGAAAAGGAGGTATATCCAGTGTTCAGGGACACTGATGGCCAAACAGAAAGTCCAGCCTCTTACTATGCTAAAGAGAAAGCTATATTTGAGAGGAATTTAAAAAATCATTTTCATTTTTATGCTTTCAGACCTATAGATATATAGCAATAGACCTATACAAGCAAAAATAGATACATAACTACTTATGACTTTTGTGGGGTTTTTCTCTTGTCACCCAGGCTGGAGTGCAGTGGTGCAATCGCAGCTCACTGCAACCTCTGCCTCCCAGGCTCAAGCAATCCTCCAGCCACAGGCTCCCAAGTAGCTGGGACTATAGGTGTGAGCCACCACCCCTGACTAATTTTTGTATTTTTTGTAGAGATGGTATTTCACCATGTTACCCAAGCTGGTCTCGAACTCCTGAGCTCAAGGGAACCGCCCACTTCTGTCTTCCAAAGTGCTGGGATTACAGACGTAAGCCACTGCACTCGGCCGTACTACTTAGGACTTTTGTAACCTGTGTTTGCCCTTATTATAACCATCTTTCAAATTCAATTTCAATTTTTTGTATGGAGTTGGTGTTTCATCATATGATGCCCTAAACTTTATTTTCCCAGTACTCTAGTGGTGAAAATTTAATTCCTTTTAATATAGTTTCTATTACAGACAATAGTATACTTAACACCAGCCTTTATATATGCAAATATCTTTTAAAGCATTTCTTTATAAGCTCCTGAAGAGTCCTTTCAAAACCCTGGAAATTAGAACATTTTATTTTAACATAATGGTTCAAAATACTACTACTAATTTACATTCCTAATGTAACCACAGAACTGTTCAATATGCTTTGACTTTGTAACAAAGTGATGAGTTGTTTTTTAGATGCAGTGGATACCCAGGTTGCAAGTCATATAACCTGAGCATGCCCAAATGAACCACGTATGCCTGATTGGTGAACCTGGAGCTGGCCAGAACAGAAAATGTCAACCACATGTGGAACCTAAGTATTCAGATTGAGAAATGAGGACCAAAATGAGAAATGAGAGGTTCCCTGGTTTTTTCCCAGTATAAACTTAAAAGCCAAGGACTCGGCACCACTTCTTTGCATGATCCAATCAGATCATGTGTCGTTGCATTTCCCTATGTCCCTCATAGTTACTCTCTGCCTCCAGACCCCAGCTCGAGGAAACAGATTTGAGTGTTGCAATAAAGTTTTTTCTTTCCTCAAGTGCTAGTGCCGTAGTATTGGCTTCTGTGTGCGTTGGTGAGCAAGCCCATTGCTCAGTAACACTAACATCACAGTATGAAAGTGCCTGTTTCTACATACATTGAAATAGTGGGCATGGTAGCTAATCTGATAGGCAGAAAATTACCTCTCATCATTGTCTTCATTATAACTCATTTTATTGCCTACCTAGAATTTCATCCTGTGGATGTAACATAATTTTCAGAACTCCATGTTATTCAGAGTGTTCTGATACTCCCTATTGTCAACACTGTGTCGATGGCATCTTTTCAAAGTCTGTGCTCCGCTGAAGGGCACAGTTCCAGGCACAGTCCCTGTGGCTGTTTGGACTGGTGAGCCAAATGTGTCCTCTTGGAACCCACCAAACTGTCATAGAAGAATACTAGTATTGTGATAAAAAGAACCTGGTCCATGTATAAATGTGTGTGCGCGCGATTGTGTATGTGCTGGCGTGATTGTGTGTGTGCTGACAACCACATTTTCCTCTGCTTCCTTCTTTTCCTTCATGGCTTTGCATCTCATTTGGTCTCCCTTCCTAAATTCAGGTTGAGAACAAAAGTTCTCTGAAAAGGAATTTAGAGGAAAGAGACTTTATTCCAGTGAATAGTTTGCAAATCGGGGAGATGTAGCCTTCAGTATAAAATGAAGGTGTGTTCCAGAGAACAAAGGGAAGGTTTTTTTTTTTTTTTTTTTTTTTTTTTTCTGAGACGGAGTCTCACTCTTTCACCCAGGCTAGAGTGCAGTGGCTCGATCTCCGCTCACTGCAAGCTCTGCCTCCCGGGTTCACGCCATTCTCCTGCCTCAGCCTCCCAAGTAGCTGGGACTACAGGCGCCCTCCACAACGCCTGGCTAATTTTTTTTGTATTTTTAGTAGAGACGGGGTTTCACCGTGTTAGCCAGGATGGTCTCGAGCTCCTGACCTCGTGATCCGCCCGCCTTGGCCTCCCAAAGTGCTGGGATTACAGGCTTGAGCCACCGTGCCCGGCCAGGTTTGTCTTTTATGAAGAAAATTCCCACCCAGGGTCCCACTCAGATCAACTTATGCAAATGAAGGATTCCAACTTGCTTAGTTCCGATTGGTTGACATAGGTGAAAGCTTATTGGTTGGTTTAAGCACCATAAAAAGGAACAGGCAGCTATGAAAGTCCCAAAGTTAAGCAGACTTGCAGGTTTTCTGGAAACTCGAAGTAATGTGTGACCTTTAGTCAGCAAATGGCCACTTGGCTCTAATTTGAATTTAGGCCCGGTTAAACACCCAGGATTCATCTTGAAGGACTGGTTCTTTCAGGCTTCACAGGGCCCAGAAGTAAAGGAAGGGAATTGTCAGAATGGCAGTTATTTTTACCATATCCTTATCCACATCCTTCCCTACATTCTGAAGATAAACTTGTACATGGTTAATTGTTGGTGCAAACAGTGTGTACATATGTAGGTTTTTGATAAATATTGCCACACTGACACCCATAAAGGTAGTGCTATTTAGACTCCCTAAGTGAAGTCATGCAAGAAAACACACAGGGGAGTGAAGAAAGTAATAGTAATGACATCCTGTTAGACAGTAAATGCCCTACACTTTGTTGTGGATCCACTCTCAAGGCACTGCCACAGTTGGAACATGTGGAAGTGATCAGATGAAAATCAAATTTTACACGCAAGTAAAACCTGAAGTAACATGTGGGATGGTGTTAGGAGGGGAAAATCCTTGGAGGAACATATGACAAGCAGTCACCAGGGCTGGGATACAGCTACCGTTTTACATGCATTCATGTTTATATAAAACATGTGCATCATGGCCTTTGTATGAAAAAGTTTGGTCACTACTGTGGTACAACAGAAGACCAGGGCAATATCATATTTTTAAACAGCTTTCTTGTAGTATAGTTTATGGACAATAAAATGCATGTATTTGAAGATAGAATTTTGTGATTTTTAGTAAATGTATATAGAGTTGTGCAATGATCTTCATAATTGAGGGTTTAAAAATCTTTTATTTTTGATTTTTGTGGGTACATAATAGGCATATATATTTTGGAGGATACATGAGATATTTTGGTACAGGTAGGGAATGTGTAATAACCACATCATTAAAAATTAGGTATCCATCCCCTCAAGCATTTATCCTTTGTGTTACAAACAATGCAATTATACTTTTTTAGTTATTTTGAAATGCACACTTAAATTATTATTGACTATTGTCCCCCTGTTGTGCTACCAAGTACTAGGTCTTACTCATTCTTTCCAATTTTTTTGTACTCATTAACCATACCCACCTCCCCGCCAGCCTGCCACCACCCTTCCCAGCCTCTAGTAACCATCCTTCTATTCTCTATCTCCATGAGTTCAATTGCGTTCATTTTTATCTCCCAGAAATAAGTGAGAACATGCAATGTTTGTCTTTCTGTGCCTGGCTTATTTTACTTAACATAATGGCTTCCAGTCCCATCCATATTTTTGCAAATGACTGAATCACTTTCTTCTTGATGGCTGACTAGTACTCCATTGTGTATATGTACCACATTTTCTTTATCCATTCACCTCTTGATGGACACTTAGGTTGCTTCCAAATGTTAGCTAAAGTGAATAGCGCGGCAACAAACATGAGAGTGCAGATGTGTCTTCAATATACTGATTTCCTTTCTTTTGGGTATATACCCAGCAGTGGATTGCGGGTCATATGGAAGTTCAATTTTTAGTTTTTTTGAGGAACTTTCAAACTGTTCTACATAGTGGTTTTACTAACTTACATTCCTACCAACAGTGTACAAGGGTTCCCTTTTCTCCACATCCTTGCCAGCATTTGTTATTGCCTGTCTTTTGCATATAAGTGATTTTAACTGGGGTGAGATGATATTTTGTTGTAGTTTGGATTGGCATTTCTCTGATGATCAATGAAGTTGAGCACCTTTTCATATGCCTGTTTGCCATTTGTATGTCTTCTTTTGACAAATGTCTATTCAAATCTTTTTCCCACCTTTTAATCAGTTTAGTTATTTTTTGCTATAGAGTTATTTGAGCTCCTTATACATTCTGGTTATTAATCCCTTGTCAAATGGGTAGTCTGCAAATATTTTCTCCCATTCTGTGGGTTGTCTCTTCACTTTGTTGATTGTTTCCTTTGCTGTGCAAAAGCTTTTTAACTTGATGTGATCCCATTTGTCCATTTTTGCTTTGGTTGCCTGTATTGGGGTATTACTCTAGAAATCCTTGCCCAGACCAATGTCCTGGAGAGTTTCCCCAAAGTCTTGTAGTTACATAGTTTGAGGTCTTAGATTTATGCCTTTAACCAATATTAATTTTTGTATATGGCAAGAAGTAGAAGGTCTATTTTCATTCTTCTGCATATGGATTTCCAGATTTCCCAGCACCACTTATTGAAGAGACTGTCTTTTCCTCAGTGTAGGTTCTTTGTTGAAAATGGGTTCACTGTAGGTGTGTGGATTTGTTTCTGGGTTCTTTATTCTATTCTACTGGTCTGTGTGTCTGTTTTTATGCCAGTACCATGCTGTTTTGGTGATATAGCTCTGTAGCATAATTTGAAGTCAGGTATTGTGATTCCTCCAGTTTTGTTCGTTTTGCTGAAGATAGCTTTGGGTATTCTGGGTCTTTTGTGATTTTATATGAATTTTAGGATTTTTTTTTCTGTTTCTGTGGAGAATGTCATTGGTATTTTGATAGGGATTGTATTGAATCTGTAGATTGCTTTGAGTAGAATGGACATTTTAACAATATTGATTCTTCCAATCAATGAACATGAAATACTTTTCCATTTTTTGGTGTCATCTTTAATTTCTGTCATCAGTGTTTTATAGTTTTCATTACAGAGGTCTTTCACTTCTTTGGTTAATTCCTGTGTATTTAATTTTATTTATGGCTATTGTAAATGGGATTACTTTTAAATTTATTTTTTAGATTGTTCACTGTTGACTGGCCTATAGAAACGCTACTGATTTTTGTATGTTGATTTTGTATCCTGCAACTATACTGAATTTGTTTATGAGTTCTAATCGTTTTTTGATGGAGTCTAGGTTTTTCCAAATATAAGATCATGTCATCTGCAAACAAGGATAATTTGACTTCTTTTCCAATTTGGATGCCCTTTGTTTCTTTCTCTTGTCTGATTGCTGTAGCTGGGACTTCATAGTTGAGTTTCAGATGTTTTCATCATCCTAAGATTACCCATCCTGCTTGAATGCAGTTAACCCTGTGCCCACCCCCAACCCTAGGCAATCACAGATATGCTTTGTTTCTCCGTGGATTTGCCTGTTTTTGACATTTTACATAAATGAAATCAAAAAATATTGGGTCTTTTGCATCTGGCTTCTTTCACTTTACATAATGTTTTCAGAATCTGTGTTGCAGCGTATATCAATACCTCATCCATATTTATTGCTGAATATACCCCATTTTATCCATGTATCAATTGATGAGCATTTGGGTTCTTTCCACTCTTTAGCTATTTTGAATGATGATCCTGTATACATTCAGGTACGAGTTTTTATGTAGACATATTTCTTTTGGCTATGTACCTAGGGGTGGAATTGCTGTGTCATATGGTAATTCCCTGTTAACCATTTGAGGTATGGCCAGAGTATTTTCATAAGCCTGATTTCATAAGTACAGGCTTAACTTGTTTTTCTCATTATTAGACTGAGGTTGTGGGTTTTCAGAAGGAATACCACAGAGATGAATTGCCCTTTTTATCACACCATATATGGGTTTACATGCTACCCATATGATATCAATGGTGATGTTAACCTTCATCACTTGGTTAAGGTACTGTTTGCCAAATTTCTCCAGTGTGTGGTAACTATTTCACATTCCTATACTCTTTTCTGTAGAAGTAAGTCACTAAGCCCTGTTCTTAGGAGGTAGAGGACAGAATTAAACTTCACCTCATGAACTGTGGGGTAGCCATATATATATTATTTAGAATTATTTGATTGAGACAATTTGTCTTCTCTGATCCATTTCTTTTTCAATTGAAACACTTATTTATATCAGTATGGAATTATGTACACTTATCATATAGTTGGGATAGTTTACCAAATGGAAACATTCCAAAAGGAATTCCAGCATTATGATTTGTGTGGTGCAGTAGAATTCTGACCTAATCAGGAGATTGCAGGAGTTCCCTCTCTCTACTATTATATTTCACCACCGTTATATTACCTAATTATGGCATATTAAACAATCAGACAATGCTTTTAGGCAATATATTTAACCATGACAAATTTTGAAACAACATTTTAATTTCAGGTGATTACATTGTATACTTAGTAATTCCTTCAGAAAGAAATAAAACAATAAACAGAATTTAAGTGATCATAAAAATATTGCTAACATGCAGTAAATCTATTTGCAACATTCCTTTTATTGAAGCAATATTATGGGATATGTTGGGGAAATGTTGTACTTCAATTGATAGCACAGTTCCTGTAGCACAGCCTTCACATTATCTGACTGACTCTATGGAAGCTATTTTATAATGCTAGCTTTTAGGTAAATATAGCATTGCCATAAAATCTTTGTCTATACAAAAGCAACTGAATTTTGGCATTGCAGGTGAAGCTTTGTCTCCAGATAGATGTTCATTTCAACAGTCTTGATCTATAAATGGGACAAAGGCGTGGCTGTTGGTTTTGATGGGGTTCATTTCAGTGGAGGGGTGCGGTAACAAAGCACCATTAGATGAGGAATGAGGACTGAGGTGGAGGGAAGTATAAAGGGATGAGTTGAGTATTGAGAATTCTTCATAGAACTTTGGTTGCAATGGGAGAATATATGTAAAGAGAACAGTAACTAGGGTTGTAGAGAGGGGTCCAGGGTTTTTAAATTATGTTTTGAAATTATCAATGATAAGAGGCTCTCTCAGGATGGAAATATTAATGAGAAGGAGCCATCTCTTCTTAGGTCTAGAAACTGAGTTCACCACAACCCCCTTACTTCCTTGTTTCTATTCTGGGGAAGTCTAAAGCTTAACCAGAAGGATGGTGTCATTTGACCTTAATGCCTGTTAACTATGGGGATGGATGGATGGATGGATGGATGGATGGACAGACGGATGAATGGATGGACAGATGAATGGATAGATGCACGATGTGTCAAACAGGTACTGGTATTTTATCTTCTAGCACCGAGCTCCTCACACAGGTGACTGAACCCATGGTTTTGGTGTCTGAGAAGATACAGCTTCTCCAGTCTCTGTAACTGATGTCAGGAAGATAGGAGCACTCAGCTTCAGTGTTCAGAAGCAGATTTAGGCCGACTGCCATACCTTACATCCTGGAGGGATCCACCCTGACTTGAGCAGGTGAGATCACAGAAAGACTTGCTTTCCATCACAGGGACAGTATTACAGCCTGCTCAGAAGCATGTTGTGGTCCAGCTCTTGTGTCATTTAAAAAGACTCCAGCTCTTCTCTAATACTGAATTCAACTAATACCACAGAGAGATGTTCTTAATCTTCTAGACAAACACACTGCCATCAGTATCCCCCAGAGGCCACAAACACACCCTGGAACCATAATGCCACCAGTAGCTCTAGGAGAACTTGCAGGCTAATGTGCCTCTTGCTCATTGTTTTTAGGCTACATATGAAAATGGACCAGTTTGCAATAAAAATATAATGCAATGATGATTATCAGAGCATTTTGTATACTAGGGAATTTTTTAAGTTATCTGAACACCAAATTAAATATAATGACAATGAAAGAATTTCCACCTGTCATATCATCAAAGTATAAAAAGAAACCATTCAGGATTCTAGTAAGGCATGCAGGGAAGTCTACTCTGTTTCATATTGGTGGTGGAGATGTCACTTAGTACAACCTCTTTCCAGGTTGATTTGGTAATTTCTATTAAAGACTGTATGCATCCCCGATCTGCATGTGTTTAGCGCCTGCTCCTTCAAGTATTCACCCTCAGCATGACCCCTGTCCCTCTGAGAGTGCATATTCTTCTTGACATCAGAACTGTCTGGAGACTCCAGTTTCTAAAGTACTGGCCCAGATGCACTCCCTTGTCTACAGAGTAGGAAATTTAGGTCTGACAAGGTTCTCTGTCTTTCAGAAGAGAGACAGAACTGGCAGACTGGCTTCAGAGCTGAAGATACAGATTTCATTAGTGACCCGGGTCAGCAGGAAAGCAAGATTTACTTGGTTATGGTGTGATGTGCAGCTCAGCATCACAGTCTGCCTGGGGGTGTATAGGGTGCAGGTCTCTGCTTTTCCACTTAGTGGCAGGATGCTCCCCAGCCAGGCTGCTTAACCTGCAAACATCACTGTTTCTTCAGCTACAGGATGGTGTAGAAATTATATCCTCTACCTCCCAGGAATGTTGTGGGAAATTCATGAGACAGAAAAGTGCCAGCGTTCAGGAAGGGTGAGTCCCCAAGGCTTCCTGAGGCCAGAGATACTGCCCTTCTGCAGTACTTTATGTTATAATCACCCTATGACAATGCACAAGTAAATGGTCATTCAGTTACAAGAGTGCAAGGACTTATATTTACTCAGTTCATCCAATATAGATTATTATAATATTCACAATGTAAATTGGAAAGTAACTACGTGGAAATCAGTTCTTCTTCCTTCCCATCTAAGGTCTCAGAAGTGCTTTCCCAGATGTGATCTCATTAACCTCTATATTGATCTGAGATTTGTTAACCAAAACTGGCCAGTACAGGGGAAATGACTCACCTAAAGTCTTATAATGGGCCTGCCCTGCCATGTTCTATTGCAATGTTTTTCTGCAAAGCCTCATCTTGCGGGGTTACATTATGTATATTTTTCTTTTTCTTTTCATTTTACCAAAAGAGAAAAATATATACCTTTTTATTGTTAAGAAACATTTTCTCAAATAAGTACTTATTTCATTCCTTACTGAAATGGTTTTTTCTTACTGATCCATTGAAACCATGTTGGCTATGTTCAACATAACTAGAGATATCTTTGGCGTTTTCCTCCCTTAGCTTCATATCTTGTAGAACATCTTGTACAAAAAAAGTAGATTTATAGAAAAACATACATATAAATCACGAATTAATCCTCAAATGTAGTAAAATAACATAGCAAAAACTTTATCAAATCCATTTCATGCACAAACTGGACAGATCTGTTATATACAATCTCTATATGCATCTGCAGTGTTTTATAAATTGGTGCTTTGACTTTAAAAGGAGGTTTACAAAAAGCCCCCTCTTGTAATATCAATGACTAAATTATCTCACTATCATTGATTCTCAAATTTACTTGAATTTATACTCATCACTGCCATATCACCATTCTTACAAAGGCAGTAATTTTAAGGAAAAAGTTGCAGTGTGATTATGATATAAGTAACATTCAAAATTTCATGTTACCAAGAGTTGAGCAGAGTACTAATTTCCCGTTTATAAACACACGTCTAAAAAGAAAGCTTCATGCACATCCACATAGAAATTCAAAGTCAAACTGCGTAATGTGTTTTTATTGACAGAAGGCATCACACCATTCCCAAGCAGCATGATTCCCTTGAGAAACTGAAAACTAATTTCTTGAATCTAGAATGCGACTTCCGACTTCTGTCTTCCAGGTGTAACCAGAGTTCTTCCTGGAGCGATTCCAGCTTGTTTCCTTTTGGTGCCTTCCTTAAGAAATTTTGCAGTTGTTTCTGGTGCAGTTTTTGGGTGGGCTCTGGGGTGGGCAGACGATCTCCACTTTGCAGAGGCTGCTCCTTTTGTGGGTGGAGCTGGTGGTGAGGGAGTAGGAGAGGCCTCGCATCATCCTGGCATTCAGGCCCTTAGCCATGGAGAAGGACTTGAGGTGGCTTCTTAAGGCATTGGGGAGCGGGAGCTTGTCCACCAGGTATACGGGTGTGCAGGACACGATGGTGCGGCAGCAGAGGTCTTGCAAGCTCAGTACCTTGCTCGGCCTCCCGAAACAATTCATCCTGTGCCGCAGCAGCACGATCCTGGCCAGCTCCGTGAAAGACTCTATGATGTTGAAATTGCACAGAGGGCTGACCTCAAAGAAGGTCACGCCCAGGCGCTCAGCGTAGGCTTGGGCCTGCTCCCTGGGCACCTGCCTCTTGAATGCCAGATGTAGGCGATTCCCCACCAGGATTTTAGGGACACCAGGGGCATGCTCATCGATCTTCTTAATCCATCGATCCATACCCTCGAAAGACCAGCGGTTTGCAATGTCGTAGACCAGGATCACTCCTTGTGCACCACGAGAGTAGGAGCGGAATATGGTACAAAATCTTCCCTGCCCCGACGTATCCCAGAGCTTCAGCTTCACCCGCTGGCCATCCAGCAGGATGGTGGTCGTCTTGTAGTCGATCCCCCTCAGGTGACTGTATGGGGACTCGGCCGCGCCATCCTGCAGGCTCTCCAGGATCTCACTCTTGCCTACGTCGCTGTCGCCCACCAGCAGGAACTTCAGCAGGAAGTCATAGGCCTGGTCGGGGCTGTCCAGGGTGCTCATGTTGCTGGCCCCGCACTCCCGCCTGAGCCAGGCCCACAGGGTTGTGCGCAGAGGTAATGCCGGGCCTGTTTTTCTTGAGAAATTAACATAGAACATAAAAAATGAGATGGGGAAGTCTATGAAATAAAGCGAAATGAGGTGGTGGCTTTGATGGATTTCTTTTACAAACCCAGGAAACTGGTTCAGTGATTGTTTTCCTTTTCCTTACCCAGCACAGAGTAGTGACACAGCAGTTAATTAATCATGGAAACCTATACATTTCCCTTAAAATTTTCATATGATCATTATGGAACCATGCCTTTTGGATTATGTCAAAGGAATCTCCTTTAAAGGAAGGACGGGTATGGGATAGGAAAGGGACTAAGATGTGTTGAGTACCGTAGGTACCCTACACTGTGTATGACACTTAAAATATTTTGTTCTTTTGCTTTCAGAACAGCTGTCTTTGTTAGCTATGATTGTTTCCATTTTACAAATCAGAAAAGGCAAACTCAGAAATGTTATGTAATTTAAAAAAATATTGCCATTATTATAGAGATCACAGAAATCACAATCCTGAGCCAGGGCTCTCCTCATATAATGCACCACACATCCTTTTTACTCTGTGGCCATGCAGGGTTTAGGAGTAAGTGTGAACTGTCTGTGCATGTGATCCTTGACAAGCCACGCATGTTTGCATGGGCACTAATACTTTTCTTGCTGCAGGTGGACATCTCCCATAAATATAAGAGCCAAGATCTCAGAAGAGACATCTAGGACATAGATTTTGCTAGAGTGTCTCATAAATAATATTCACCCAAGAAAGATGTGTTGAAATAATGCACGCATCCATCAGTGAAGGGTTTTAGGTTTAACACATGTACAGCTCCTATAACAAAACAGCAAAACTGACAAAATATGTAAATGGTTCACAGGTGAAGAAACACAAATGGCCAGTAATCACAAGAAAAAGCATTCTAGCTCACTAATACATTAAGGAATGCAAATGAAACCATCTAAATATCCTTTTATCACCTATCATCTGACAAAATTTAAATGTAGAAAAAAAAGCGAAAAAGAATTTTTTAAAAATTTGAAAAACGAAAAGGTGAAAAGTGGTTCTCTGTGTGTCTGGGTATGGGGGCGGGATGAGGGACCAAATACATCAAGGAAATGGAAACACACTTATCAGTTATAAATACATTTAAATATTGTAACAACAGGTACAAAGATGGTTAAAGAAATGAGAATGCTCAGACACATATAAGGAAGTTTAAATTATTGAAATCAAGCCCCAAGGGATAGATGTTTACACATGTAATGGAGGAAAAAATGTTCACATGTCCAAAATAGCCAGGTAAGTGGTTATTTGAAATAGCATTGCTGAAATCTTTTTAAAAAGGAAAAAATGAGAAACATTCTAAATACTCATCAATACAGAACAAACATGTGAATAAAGGATAAGAAAAACATTTCTATTTCTCTGTGGGCTTCAGGGCAAATAGAGAAAAAAAAAGCCTTTAGATTAATTCCAGAGTTAGCTGACAATAAGGAGATAATAAAGTTGTCTCCCTGATTTATATAAACTCCCTTAAAGACAGCACCCTGATTGGAATAATGATCATAATTATTGGTACCTTGAACAGCCATTAGGATAAAGGAGATGAAATATAGAATGTATTTGCTTAAAGTAGTTCAGTGCAGGTTACTTTCCTTCTCTTCAGCTCACCCGTCGCAAGGCCAACACCTAAGCTTCTGCCTGAGCCCACTCACTACTTAAGGGATCAGCCAACTCATGCGGTCCTATACCCAGTCTCTTGGCATAAAGTGCAGGATTTCACCTCCTCTGTCTTCCTCATCACCCAGAGGGGTTGTGGAGTGGGGGACCCGTGGGGCCACAATAGCAGGGGAATGGAATCTGACCATTTCTCAAGCCCTGGAAGCCCATCTTCTAAAAGGGGGTGCTTGGGGTCGTTTAGGGAGGGTGAGGGATGAAACCTCATTCCAATCCTGCCACTTACCTGGGAAGGTGACTTAGGCTGTGAAAGCCTGAGCTTGATTATCTGTGAGATAGAACTGACTGTATCATCCTTACAGAGCTGTCCCAAGGAGCAAATGAGAAAACCTGTTGAGAGTATATGGCATGAAGTGGGATTCAATGGCCCTTTAAATGCTGAGACACAGAAGTGGGGGCTGGCTGAGCCTCTGGGCTAAGAAGGCATTGTGAAAAGTCATTTTTCACTGTTTCTACTAATGAGAACACAGACATCCATATAAAGAAAGCAAATCTCTCTCTGATATGCCTTGAGTTCAAAGTTTTAGAGACAGAATGTTCTCTACATTCTTGGATGTTTCATAATCTAATAAAAGCTGTTCAACATCATGCCTCTGAGCAGACCCAAATCCACTTCCCATGTTAGAAAGAAAAAAATGATAGATGTAAAACAAGACTATAAAAACATATGCTCCAGGGCATGAAACACCAAGTAGCACTTACAGGGCTGAAGAAAGGTGACAGAGAGGATAGAGGTCACAGGAGCAGGGTCTGGGCAACTGTGTCCATAGGATCCTAGAGAAGGGAGGACTGAAAAGGAATGGGTGGAGGTCTGGGAAGCCTATACAGGGGCAATGGAGGCTAAATGCCCCACTCTCTGTGAGGGACCTCTCTATAGTGTGCACGGGACAACGTATACTGAGGAGGGAAGAGATAAATCAGTGAATGCCATGTAGATTTGGAGTCCACAGCCAATGGACCAGCTTTAATACACATATATTTTTCAAACAGAACTGGCATCATAGTTTGTCACTCTTTGCAATATGTCCTCATTTAAAAAAAAAAAAAAAATGGAGATAGCTGTGATGCCTCCTGATGGCCAGAACCTGGATCACAGCTTTGAAAGTCTCAGACAAGGGGCCCAGGGAAAGGGAGAGGGATGTTGGAGGTGAGCTACAAAGATCTCAGCCAGAGTTTTCTGGAATTATTCACCTAACGATAGCAATCTCCGTGTATCAGTCATGTTCTGGCATATATGAAACTGAGATTGGTTCCAGCCCCTGTCTGAATTAAAGATAAAACTGCATCTGTGAGTGTGTATTTGAAGTGATACAGCTAGACCTAGACACACACACAAATGTGCACACACACACACACACACACGCAAATACCCTGTCGATTAAATTCTTTTATTTTCCGTTTTTACCATAAAATAGAATACAATGAATGCTTTTTCAAATTAATAAACATATACATAGTACCTTTGACAATCTGTTCAAAAGTATTTTATCACAGCCATAAAAAAAAAAAAATCATGTCACTTGTAGCAACATAGATGCATCTGGAGGCCATTGTCCTAAGTGAATTAACACAGGAACAGAAAACCAAATACCACATGTTCTCACTTATAAGTGGAAACTAAACATTGGGGACTCATGGACATAAAGATAAAGCCCTGGGGACTACTGGAGGAGGGGGGAGAGGTGGGGCAAGGGTTGAAAAACTATTGGGTACTATGCTCACTACCTAGGTGATGAGATCATTCATATCCCAAACCTTAGCATCCCACAATATACCTATGTAACAAACCTGCACGTGTACCCCCTGGATCTAAAACAAAAACTGAAATTTAAAAGAGAAGAACATTCTGCCTCCTATAATGAAGAAACATCTCAACTAACTTATTTTTTGGAAAACAGCAACATTTTTTCAAAGTTTGGGTACATTTTTAAAATTCACTATGGCTCTTTCTTTCAGGTCCATTTCATTGACTACAGAAAGGCATCAGAATTTTTTTCTTTTTCTTTTTTTGTTTTTTTTTTGGACAGAGTCTCGCTGTGACGTCCAGGCTAGAGTGCAGTGGTGCAATCTCAGCTCACTGCAACCTCCACCTCCCAGGTTCAAGCGATTCTCGTGCCTCAGCGTACTGAGTACCTGGGATTATAGGCATGTGCCACCACACCCGGCTAATTACTGTATTTTTAGTAGAGATGGGGTTTCACCATGTTGGCCAGGCTGGTCTTGAACTCCTGGCCTCATGTGATCCACCCACCTCAGCCTCCCAAAGTGCTGGGATTCCAGGTGTGAGCCACTGCACCCAGCCAGGCATTAGAATTTAACTTTATTGCCTTGAATATTTTAATTAATGTTTTATATTTAATCTTAAAGAAGGGGAAATTTTATACCATTGAAGAGACACTTATGCTTACAAGAACTCCTTTTAATAATAAAAGCAGAATTTATTAGTAAAAAAGGGAAAGAAATAGAACATTATCTTCACTTCAGCAGCTTCCTTTATGACCTTACAAGTCATTATTCCCCCAAAAGTAAACTACACTAACTTCTAACACTAGAGATTTGCCTGTTTATGAACTTTTCATATTTTATATACCTGAAATTATACTTTTTTGTTTCTGCTTTCTTTTGCTTAATATTATCCTTGTGAGATATATCCATGATTTTGCATATGGCAACATTAAAATGAGCATTCTAATTGTGGTAGAGTATTTCATTTTATGAATACTACAAGTTATCTGTTGAATGATATTTGGGTTATGCCCACAGTTTGACTAATATTATAGTACTACTACATACAGATTTGTGGCTGTCTTTAGTGGATATATGTACACGATTCTGTTGAGTATGTCAAAGATTGGAATTGCTGGCTCATAGGTATGCATATAGTTAGCTTTAGTGGATATTGCCAAATGATTTCCCAAAGTGTTTTCACCAATTTACTTTCAGTAATAGTACATAATGGTTCTACTTGCCCCTTATTCTTTTTTTTTCAGTTCATGGGGTTACTGTAGTATCTCATGACAAGTTTAATTTGCATTGTCCTAAAAACTAAAAACGTTAAGCACCTTTTTATACATGCAGTTGTTGTATGGGATTCTTATATTGTAAAGTGCCTGTTTACTTCTTTTGCTCATTTTCTACTTTTCTCCTTGTTTCCGAAAAATCAAATCACTGTATATATAAAATCTTTCACTCTGTATTTCAATATTTTCTTTCTTAAGAGTATGTTTTGGAAGACAGAGTCTTTAATTATAATGTAGCTCAGTTTATTATTTTTTTTTCCTTTGGGATTAACAGTTTTTTGTCTAGTGATTAAGAAATATTTGCCACCCCAACTACATAAAAATATTTTCCTACATTGTTATAGGTTATTCTTTTACTTTTGCATTTAGACTGACAATCTACCTGAAATCAATTTTTGTACGTATCTAATTCAGCTAGCATACTTAAAATATCATCCTTCTCCCTTCACTGCACTGTCACCTGTGTCATAAGTGAAAATGACCACATATGGATTGGGTCTATTTCTTGACTCTATTAAGTCCATTGGCCTGTTTTTTTTCTATCCTTACACCAATTCTACATTCTCTTAATTATAATAGCTTGTTTTTTTAGATCTCAATTTTTAATTGTTTTTCTTTGAATAGCTTCAGGAGTACAAGTGGTTTTGGTTATAAGGATCAATTGTACAGTGGTGAAGTCTGGACTTTCAGTGTACCCTTCACCCAAAATAGTTTACATTGTACCCAGTAGGTGATTCTTCATCCCTTACTCCCTTCCCTCCCTTACTCCCACCTCCCCCTTCTGAGTTTCCAGTGTTCATTATTAATTATAATAGCTTTATATTTTAATCTTAGTTTGTAATAAAATGTTTGAACTTTGTCCTTTTCAACAAAGGTTTTAAAAACTGACATGCTTTTTAAATATATATATATATGTTTTAAGTCCTTGGGGCATAAAATTTAAATCCAAACAGATCTAATTAAAACATAATCCAACATATTTTACGACAAATGAATAGATCATTGCCAATTCTTTACTTGCCAGTTAAATTTTTAAAAACTGTGCATTCAAATATTCACTAAAATACTTTTATTCTCAAATATGAAACTTCAAAAACTATATAAGAGTATATTCACAAATCCAATTTAAACTGCACCTCTCACTGGCCCAACTCCCACCCCTTGACCCCAAGGGGTCTGTTGTCCCTAGAATAGTGCACATTCTCCAGAAGTGCCCCTGTAGGTGAGGTGCACATCAACACATTCACTTTCACACACAGTCTTCTCCAAAAGTACAATCATAGTCCTCATTTTTTGCATCTTGTCATTATAAATTCTCAGGATTTAAAATCATTTCTGTCTTGTTAGTTCTTGTGGTTTTTGTATTTATTTTATTTCTTCTAAAAAAATGGGGTACATGTGCAGAACGTGCAGGTTTGTTACATAGATATACGTGTGCCACGGTGGTTTGCTGCACCTATTGACCCGTCCTCTAAGTTCCCTCCCCTTACCCCCACCCCCAACAAGCCCTGGTGTGTGATGTTCCTCTCTCTGTCCATGTGTTCTCAGTGTTCAGCTCCCACTTATGAGTGAGAACATGTGGTGTTTGGTTTCCTGTTCCTGTGTTAGTTTGCTGAGGATGATGGCTTCCAGCTTCATCCATGTTCCTGCAAAGGACATAATCTCATTCCTTTTATGGCTGCAGGTTTTTGTATTTTTAAATGTTTATTATTCATGTATATACTTATTTAAATTTTCTGTTGAAATCATTGCCAATTGTTTTGTTACCAAGTATGTTTCACAAATCATGGCTACTAACCCAGTATCTGAGATGTAGTTTACAAATGTTTTCTCCTTTGTTTTAATACAGTCTTTAGTGTTTTTTTTTTCCTTTGGAAAGTGTTTTAAATTTTATTAATGGGACCTAAACATTATAGAGGTCATATTTAAAAAGAAAAAAACATTAAAAACCACCTGTGGAGCAGATACTGCCAGCGTTGAAGGAGATTAGAGCACTCAGAGTTCTGGAGGCATCAAGACAAAATGAAAATAACAACCGAAAAAAAAACCTTCAGTAATTCCAAAGTTAGCTGCTGATCAGGAGATTAAAAAGTTTTCTCTCTGAATTACATAAACTCTCCTTAAGCTTAGTTTCCTGATTTGAATAATTATCAGAATGACTGGTTAAATGTTGTTAGGGTAAAAGCAGATGAAATACAAAGTGCATTTGCTTACAGTAGTTCAGGGCATGTTACTTTCCTTCTCTCCAGCTTGCCTGTCCCAAGGCCAACACCTGAGCTTCTGCCTGAGCCCACTCACCAAAAATCAAATTTAAAGTGCACCTCTCACTGGCCCAACTCCCACCCCTTGACCCCAAGGGGTCTGTTGTCCGTAGAATAGTGCACACTCAGGTCTACAGGTTTTTGTATTTTTTAAATGTTTATTGTTTATGTATATACTTATTTGAATTTTCTGTTGAAATCATTGCCAATTGTTTTGTTACCAAGTATGTTTCACAAATCAGGGATACTAACCCAATATCTGAGATGTAGTTTACAAATGTTTTCTCCCTTGTTTTTAATACAGCCCTTAGTGGGGTTTTTACACACTAGGTCTACACCCAGGTCTCTTGGCACAAAGCGCAGGATTTCACCTCCTCTGTCTTCCTCATCACCCAGAGGAGTTATGGAGTAAGGACCTGTGGGGCCACAATAGCAGGGGAGTGGAATCTGACCATTTCTCAAGCCCTGGAAGCCCATCTTCTAAAAGGGAGGTGCTCAGGGTCCCCTAGGGAGGGTGAAGGATGGAACCTCATTCCAATCCTGCCACTTACCTGGGGAGGTGACTTAGGCTCTGAAAGCCTGAGGTTGGTCATCTGTGAAATGGGACTGACCATACCATCCTTACAGAGCTGTATGAGGGGTTAATAAGACAACCCTCCCAGAGAATATGACATGAAGTGGGACTTCAATGGTCCTTTAAATGTTGGAACACAGCAGTAGGGGCTGGCTGAGCCTCAGGGCTTAGGTAGTCATTATGAAAAATCATTTCTCATTGCTTCTCCAGACGAGAACACAGACATCCAGATAAAAGAAGCGAATCTCTCGGATATGCCTTCAGTTCAAAGTTTTAGAAACAGAATGCTCTCCACATTCTTTAGTGTTTCATAATTCATAAATACTGTTCAATATCATGCCTGTAAGGAGACCCAAATCCACTTCCCCATGGTGGTAAGACAGGCGTGTGTGAACTCACCTGGTGAGCTCCATGACAGATCTCATCAGGGACACAAGGGGCAGTGATTGTCTAATGAGTGCTCCAGCACTGCTTAGTGTGTGTGTGTGTGTGTGTGTGTGTGTAGATATATAGATA